AGAGTTTGATAGAGAAAAGTCTAAAGATCAAATAATCAAGTTTTTTTTGTTGAATCTTGAAACTCTTTTCGTTTTTCATTTGAAAACCAAAAATTGACATTTCCGTCCTTTTCCTAGAGAATAAAATCAAATTTCAAAATGAGGGACATTCCGAATCAGCTCAAAAACCATTTTTCAATCTTTAGAATCGGATTGGAAAGTAAATAATCGTCAATTTCCTTTATTTTTTTGCAATAACATGCTAATTGATTTTTCTTTTTCGTTCAATCGTTTTTACTCTGATAACACGTTGATTAAATTATCATTATTGCGTTTTAAAAAGCAATTTTTTATGAATGTTTAATAAATCTTGTTGATAACGAATGGATAAATCTAAGAGTTTGATAGAGAAAAGTCTAGAGATCAAATGATCAAGTTTTTTCGTTGAATTCGTTGATCTTGAAACTCTTTTCGTTTTTCATTTGAAAACTTAAAATTGAAATTTCCGTCCTTTGCCTATTTTGTTTGATTCGTCGTGACGTGCAAAATTTATCAATTTTTATTTAAAATTTATCAAACCAATACTCAGTACTCAGTGTAACGAAAAGAGTACTCAGTGATGACACCAAAATGGGTTTCTTTTGAAGAAAGTGCTCAAACATATGACAACATATGACAATAGCCGGCAGTTTTCAATTCATCAATCCGATATTTATGCAAAACGAAAAGAAGCAATGTCTCTTGAGAAGGACGTCATCGGCGAAGAGAAAATTGTTGTTGGCCGGTTCAAACTCATTTCTGATGAGTCTAAATGAATAAAATTGAATTGGTTAATAAATAAAAATTAATAGAACTAACTTTTGCTGCAAGTTTGATAGAGAAAAGTCTAGAGATCAAATGATCAAGTTTTTTCGTTGAATCTTGAAACTCTTTTCGTTTTTTGATTTGAAAACCTAAAATTGTAGCTACAAAAAGACAAAACTGTACTGGTTTTCAGTCAAAAAAAGCATTAAACTGTAGTTTTAGTTTTTCATAAAAATCCGATATTCAAAGGATTTTTAAACAAATTTTTATTATTTTTAAGTTGAATTGAATAAAAAGCTTTTAGTCAATGGGAATTTTATTATAAAAATCCTTTTTCTACATTTCTTATGTACCGTGATCCAATCTTTAGATTTTGTTCTGTTGCAGTGAGTTAAGGTTTAATTCCACATCAAAAGTGTTTAGATAGCTGCACTAATGCTTAGAATTGTAGATAATTTTTGGACACGCAATACGGAAGCGCTTAGAGTACCCGTATTTGGCTCAATTTTGTCAGTGATTGGCTATGGCTCTTATAGAATTCATGTTTACTTATCGAGAAAACGCGAAATAGATGCACTATCACAAAAGCCACAATATCCATTTGACGTCGATGTGGAAACACTTAGCGCTTAGAGTACCCGTATTTGGCTCAATTTTGTCAGTTGGCTAAATTCCTATTATTGGGTACAATCAAAAAAGCTTTGGTCAACAGGAATTTGATTTTGAAAATGATTTTTCTATCTGTTTTTGGCTATAAATGTTCAGTGAACAGATCTTGAATATTTCCTTCTGTAAATGTAAACTGTTTATATCATTATTGACTAGTAAAGTTGTTCAGATATGCCTACAATTGTAGACAATTTTTGGACACGCAATACGGAAGCGCTTAGAGTACCCATACTCGGCTCAATTTTGTCAGTGATTGGCTATGGCTCTTATAGAATTCATGTTTACTTATCGAGAAAACGCGAAGTAGATGCACTATCACAAAAGCCACAATATCCATTTGACGTCGATGTGGAAACACTTCTGCAAACAATGGTCTTCACCGATATCACAATGTTACTAGTAAGTTAAACAATTCTGAAGAACAAAGGTTGTTGCTACAATCTTTGCTACAATCTTTTTAGGTTTATACAATTGGTATCTTTGTTAATTTGTACGCTTTATATTATACGGCGAAGAACACTAATCTAATCACAAGTATCAGGTGATTTTTGCTTAAATTTGACTAAATTTATGAATTGTATCTAGGATTGTAGCAACTGGTGAAAATTTAAATCGACTCTGTTTAAACAGCGCTCAATTTTTGGGGAGTTTATGCGGAGTTTACGCGAGATACAGCCCAACAACGAGTACAGAGTGGTTAGTTTTGAAACAGAAATCAAACAGAAACTTCTCGCTTTGACAGTGAATTGAAAAGAGTATAAATTCGGCTTTTGAAGCAGCAAAACTCTGAAGGAACTCGAAGAAAGAATTTAAAAGTAGAATTTATCCCTTTTCACATTGGATTAACTAGTAAGTAAGTGAGGGAAAAGTCGGAGAAAGATGTTACGCAGATTATTGTTCTTTTTTACTTATTTTAAATGTTCTTGCATGTTTTTAGATTGATTTTTGTTGTTGAATGAGTACAGAGTGGTTAGTTTCAAACAGAAATCAAACAGAAAACAGAAACAACGTAATAGTTTTTGGAATTTATATGTCGTAGCCGCTTACGAAATTCAACCGCTAACGAATGAGGGTAAAAAATTTTCTACTTGGCCAAAAAACTTGCCTAATAGCTCATTTTGTAGCCAATTTGATGTAGATTCTTAAAGTAAAGCTACATTGAACATTTGTTTTTCAAAGCTAGGAGAAAGAGGGCGAGGAACGACTTCAGTTGAACTCGGTCGCTGTTTTCACATTTGAGAATTTGTTCCTCGCCCTCTTTCTCCTACTTTCAACGAAAAATTGTTTCAGATGGCTTTACTTTAAGAAACTACATAAAATTGGCTACAAAATGAGCTATTAGGCAAGTTTTTTGGCTGAGTAGAAAAATTTTTATAGCCATTTTAGGGCATTTTTGACCCTAAACTTTGGGGGCTCAAAAAAATTTTCCACTGAACCAAATGAGCTAATTTCAAAAATTTATTATAAAATATATGTATTATGAACATTTTTTATGCGGGTGACTTTTTGATTGGATGCCCGGAAATACCCTCATTCGTTAGCGGCTGAATTTCGTAAGCGGCTACGACATATAAACAAATTCACCTTATTGAAGTGAGCTTATGAGTATCAATTGTCTCTTTATCCAGTTAGTTTTTACGAATCCTAGGTGCCCAGTCGATGGTGTTTTTCGCTTTATTTTAAGTAATGGAAATAACCTGCAAATTCCTGCCATTTATTGCCAAGGAATCATTTCATTTTGGTGAGTTTTTGATCTCTAGAGAGAGATCTCTCTCACTTATTGATAAATCTACAATTTACAGTCGTTTTATGGCGGTTTCTTTCAATGGAATGTATTTCACATACACAAAGAAGTGGCCAATCGGCCAGCTGATATTTGGCTACACATTAGGCTTGTTAAATGTATTATTGAGTTATGCTAGGCTTGATCTTGGTTGGTGTATACGAACAGTGGTTGTTTGTTTTATCAATTCTTTTGATTATTTTACATATAAAGCACTACAAAGGGTGAGAAAAGAATAAAAACAATAGCTAAACAAAGTTTAGAAGAAAGTTAAAGCGACTAGGGCTGAGAGGCAATTGATGCTTCAAGTCAGTTTACCCTTAAAGCCTTCACAAAACTACTTTTACAACACTTTAGACAATCTTCAGTTCAATCATTGTGATGAATGATTATGTCGTGACTAACTTTATTTCCATTTTACTTGATCTATTTTGTGGTATTATTTTGTGGAGTCTTATTTTGATTGTACTCTCATCGATACAAATGGGACTTTACACTTTTGGTCAAGGGTTCGTTTTTGTAATGTCTCAGGAGAGCTGAAACAAGTTAGTGCAGTATTTTGGCTTACTTTAGTCTGTGTCTTGATTTGATATCCGAGTTTAATATCAAGAAAGCTTTCTTTTCTTATTTATAAAAGTACTTTAGAATTATTTGCGCTATTTTCTTGAGAAAACCACGAATTCAACATCACAATGATGTGTCTTCAACAACACGAATATTTCATATATCAAGAGCTGCGTGAAAAGAATCTTTCTATTCGATTCCAGTTCTTTCATTTTCCACTGCCATGTTTTAACTGTCAACTTCTAAGTTCACTTTTTGCCTAATGATTAAAGTCAAAAGTGAAGACTCAAGGATTTCCGGGAGTTGTTCAAAAAACTGATAAAATTTCTAAAAGGATTACATGGAATTTCCTTAAAAATCTTCCACGTGAAACATTTAAAATTTAAGGGAGACAACAAAGGAAACAGAAAAAGAGTTGACTCGAATGAGTTTCGTAGAAATTTTCTCTGATAAGAGGTTACATTTCCGTCCTTTTTGCTATTTCGTTTGATTGAATTCGTCTGTTTTATTGGAAGCTTTTATTTTCAGTAAAAATAAGATTGTTAGCTTACTAGAAGAGAATCAAGAAGATTCCAAACACTTTTAGAAGAGTTGTCAACCCGAGAGGCAGACACCACAAAGTCGGTGAAGATACCGTTGGCAAGAAGCCGAAAGAAAAGCGTTTGTGAAAGTGAGCCCTCTATCACAAAAATTTTTTATTACAGTCCCCCATTTACTCTTTTACTCTACTCGTTCAATAGAAATTAAAGGAGTGCTTGGTTAACTGTAAGGCAAGTGCGTTCTCTGGCAAGACAATTCCAGGCACTTCTAAAAGCAGTTGCATGAGAGGCAGACACCACAACGTGGGTGAAGAAGCCGAAAGAAAAGCGTTTGTGAAAGTGAGCCTCTTATCACAAAAATTTTTTTACAGTCCTTCGTTTACTCTAAATGAGATGAAAATCATAGGTGAATTTCAGATTTATCAGTTTTGTCTGTGTTTTGTGTTTTGTTAGTTTTGCCATCACGAGAATTCCGGATCTGTGACATCGGGGAATCGAAATTGTTAAGCAATTTTATGCGATTCAGTTTTCTGATTTCTTGAGTAGACATTTAAGATTCATTGCTGTGTTTGTTTCAAGTGAATTAATTTGTTCAATGCGTTTATTTCTGAGGAAAAAAGAAGCTTTTTACATTATTACAAGGAAGGTTCCGGGGCTTTTTAGAAGCAGTTGCATTTTGTCGGGTCAGGTAAACAGGAGCCTCCAAGTGGATGAAGAAAAGTTTGACAACAGGCTGCACATCCACCGGTCTGAAATGAAAAACGATTGTGGAGGTGAGCTTGAGTAGACTTGGATTAAATTCTAACAGTCTAGCACCAGGCACATCGATTTGATACCAGACTAAACCGAGCGTCAGTACTCTTTCATTAGATTTTCCTCGTATCAGACGTATTAAAAACGGTTTTCTGCTATAACTAAGGTCCTGCATAACGTTTATTGATAACTATAATTTCTGGTAAAGTGATATTAAATATACTCTCTTCTATCAATTTTTGTTAGACTTACGGCACAATATTGGTCACATTCAGGAATATGAATGGCCTTCAATGGTGGTACCACGGCGGCAAGGCAGGCACCTGTAATGAAATATATTGTTAAATATTCCTGTTATTCAGAGGCTAAAAACAAAATGGAACAAAATCTACAATACTTACCGAGAATCAAGAAGGCAACGATGAGAACTGAGAGAGTACGCATTTTGGTTGGTGGCTTGGAAGTGAGTAGAAGAAAGTGTTGAGGTACCGACTGTTGGGCTGAGCATCTTTAAATATGCTTTCAGAAGCGTCTCCAGAACCTCTTATCGCCGAAAAATTTCTACAGTCAATCCATTTACTCTAAAGGAGATGGAAATCTTAGGTGAGTCTAAGATTTATCAGTGCCGCCATCACGGGAATTTCGATCTATGACGTTGGGAATCGAGGCTTTCAGCAATTTTATGTCTTTCATAAAATTTTCGCAATTTTATTCATTACGGTAGAGTCGAATGTGTGCGGACTGTGTTATGAACTCTTATCGCAGAAAATCTTTCCGGCTGTGCAGTCACCTAGTCATTTTTATCAATTTTAGGTGAAATTCTGGTTCAGCAATTGTTTCAATCTCAAGAAATTTCAATACTTATGAGACGTGGAAGATTTGAAGTTAAAAATCAAATATCAGTCAATAGTCAGTGTAGTTCTTCGAGAGCTAAGGCTTTTTTTTCTCCAAAATTTTTTTCGTTTTGGTGAATCGTATGTGTCAAACGAGTGAAAAAGTTGAACGCCAATAATTTGAATTTGAACGCCAATAATTCGGCCCGGGCTCGTTTCATGTAAGCATCCAAAGCATCCGTTTCATGTAAGCATCCAGCAAATGTAAGCAATGTAAGCATCGTTTCATGCAAGCATCCAAAGCATCCAGCAAATGTAAGCAAACAGGATGAACATTGAGTTTTTGAGATTTTTTCCAGCCTAGTCTATTCATTCAAATGTATTAACAAAAAAATGAACATTGAGTCAATTGGAAATGGATTTTCTTGTGAAATTTCAAAGCCAAACAGGATTCTTTTCTGTTAACAAAGTCGTCGCCGTTGAAGAGAATAAAATAGGACAAATTTCTGGTTAGTGAACTCTTAAAAAAGTACATTGACTATCGAGTCTTGATTGGATTCTTAACCTCAAATCTTCTGCGTCTCATAAGTCCTGAAATAATTTGGGTTGCCTGTAAAAAGCATTCTGTTCTTGGATTTCTCGTTGTTTGTTGAGAATGAAATTGCAACAATTCAACTGAAAATTCATCCATTTGCAACTCTTTGTTTCGATTCAAAAATGACTAGCTTTAGAGAGACGGAAATGTCTCTTATCAAAATTTCGGCTCCGACTCGCTTTTGTTAACTTTTTCACTCGTTTGACACATACGATTCACCAAAACGAAAAAAATTTTGGAGAAAAAAAAGCCTTAGCTCTCGACCTTAGTTATAGCAGAAAACCGTTTTTAATACGTCTGATACGAGGAAAATCTAATGAAAGAATACTGACGCTCGGTTTAGTCTGGTATCAAATCGATGTGCCTGGTGCTAGACTGTTAGAATTTAATCCAAGTCTACTCAAGCTCACCTCCACAATCGTTTTTCATTTCAGACCGGTGGATGTGCAGCCTGTTGTCAAACTTTTCTTCATCCACTTGGAGGCTCCTGTTTACCTGACCCGACAAAATGCAACTGCTTCTAAAAAGCCCCGGAACCTTCCTTGTAATAATGTAAAAAGCTTCTTTTTTCGTCAGAAATAAACGCATTGAACAAATTAATTCACTTGAAACAAACACAGCAATGAAACTTAAATGTCTACTCAAGAAATCAGAAAACTGAATCGCATAAAATTGCTTAACAATTTCGATTCCCCGATGTCACAGATCCGGAATTCTCGTGATGGCAAAACTAACAAAACACAAAACACAGACAAAACTGATAAATCTGAAATTCACCTATGATTTTCATCTCATTTAGAGTAAACGAAGGACTGTAAAAAAATTTTTGTGATAAGAGGCTCACTTTCACAAACGCTTTTCTTTCGGCTTCTTGCCAACGGTATCTTCACCGACTTTGTGGTGTCTGCCTCTCGGGTTGACAACTCTTCTAAAAGTGTTTGGAATCTTCTTGATTCTCTTCTAGTAAGCTAACAATCTTATTTTTACTGAAAATAAAAACTTCCAATAAAACAGACGAATTCAATCAAACGAAATAGCAAAAAGGACGGAAATGTAACCTCTTATCAGAGAAAATTTCGACGAAACTCATTCGAGTCAGCACTTTTTCTGTTTCCTTTGTTATCTCCCTTAAATTTTAAATGTTTCACGTGGAAGATTTTTAAGGAAATTCCATGTAATTCTTTTAGAAATTTTATCAGTTTTTTGAACAACTCCCGGAAATCCTTGAGTCTTCACTTTTGACTTAAATCATTAGGCAAAAAGTGAACTTAGAAGTTGACAGTTAAAACATGGCAGTGGAAAATGAAAGAACTGGAATCGAATAGAAAGATCCTTTTCACGCAGCTCTTGATATATGAAATATTCGTGTTGTTGAAGACACATCATTGTGATGTTGAATTCGTGGTTTTCTCAAGAAAATAGCGCAAATAATTCTAAAGTACTTTTATAAATAAGAAAAGAAAGCTTTTTTTGATATTAAACTCGGATATCAAATCAAAACACAGACTAAAGTAAGCCAAAATACTGCACTAACTTGTTTCAGCTCTCCTGAGACATTACAAAAACGAACCCTTGACCAAAAGTGTAAAGTCCCATTTGTATCGATGAGAGTACAATCAAAATAAGACTCCACAAAATAATGCCACAAAATAGATCAATTAAAATGGAAATAAAGTTAGTCACGACATAATCATTCATCACAATGATTGAACTGAAGATTGTCTAAAGTGTTGTAAAAGTAGTTTTGTCTAGTCTAAATGGTGAAGAAATATTTTAGCAGTTGGACACGTCAGTTCTTTTATGGGATTAGTTGGAAGCCGAGATTTGAGGCCACGACATCTCGCTTACCGGCTGAACGTCATGAATGACCTACATCAAGGTCATATTGAGTAATTGCAAGTCACTAGAGAAAAGCCTCTGAAATTGGCTGATTTAAAAACTAATGCTTCCAGGATTATCAACGGTATTTTCCTGAAGGAAAGAAAGGATCGACCTCGTCGCAGCGATGTATCTACAACTACGCGGCTGTTTCATCTCTCAGCCGCTATGTGACATCACAGAATTTTCAGACAACAAGAATTAACAGAGTCTTTCTCTTATTTCGTTTTTTAGCTACTCTTTGTTTGCATCAATCCTTTTTCTCTGATATTGTTTAAAGTTCACTTTTAAAAAAAGATCCTCCGATTAATTAAAAGCTTCGAGAATTTTCGTCGAATTCAAAAAGAATTGTTTTAGATTTTCTCACGTCAAAGATTGAGAATTTTTAAGAAAAATTGAAAAAGATACCCAGAAACTTGTCTTGCATTGTGTATCTTAAATAAGTAAAAAAAGTTAACTGAAGCTATTCGGTACTTGCAAAAGAAACTGCGGATTATAACCAACATTTGAACAACCCAAAAATCAATAAGAAAATAACTTTATTCCAAAAGATATTTGCCATTATTATCAACTATGTTCTTACATTTTTTGCGTAGACTTCGGATGTCTGATTCGAAAAATTCGGGGTCGAAAGGTTGAAATCGAAAAATTTCAACTGAACATTTACCCAATAATTCACGATTCACAAGCTTTCAACTTGCTTGGAAAACCTAGAGATATCAGGCGAATAGGGCAGATGAGGCACAAGTTTCCAGCCTAATTCTTCTATGGTGTTTTGAGCCAAGTTTGATGTGTGTACCCGGAAATTGTGAGCGAGTAAATGGATTGTCCTTGGATTAACGCCTCTTTCTCGTAGAATTTCATCAACTTTCTTCAGCTGTTCGGCGTAGCTTTGAGAAGTTATAGTTTTTGAAGATTTTTAGTTTAAAATAAACGATTCCTTTCATATTCCAAAAGACCGACAGCATAACTTTCTTTCCGTGAAGTTCTGGATGTGATGTCGGAATCGGCCTTTCTCCTTTGCTCAACTATTGTCTTTTGCTTGTTGCATTATTGAAATATACTCCCAGTGGATACTGGGAGTGGGATTGGTGACGGAGAGTCGTCGGGGACGATCAGCCTCTTCCATGGAGCTGAAAAGTTTGAGAATCATTTTTAAATTGTTTGTTTAAGCAAATTTTAAGGTATTAGAACTTCTAAACAGTTTTCATTATACTTTTTACACTTTTATTTGACTATTAGCTTCAATAACACTTGCACTATATCATTTGCTTACCCATTTTTGGCCTAACGATATATCTAACCTAGCTTTATGCCTAATCACTTCAATGGTGACTTTCAAAGATCGAAAATAAAGATTATTAGAATATTACAGTTCTACAATTCTTTACCTGCTGAGCGTTCTCTGACGTTCCATTCCGGGAATGGCCACACCGCTCAACACACCACATCCTTTGCACAAAAGGATCAATGAACGAGCCAAGTTGTCTGGCTAAATAAATCCAATCATAGATTTTCCCTTCATCACATCACAATCTTTCGATATTAATCTTGGATCCTTACAGCTAGACATGGCCGCTACAAACTACAATCTCAGACCTTAAACGCTTATAGAAACGCGTAGAATGGCTATTTTTACCAAAAAATCGAGCTAACTTTCGAATGGCACCAAGATCAGGCTAATCCATCATCTCTGCGTTGAAATCTAACGTTTTTTCCAGGTTTTCTAGACTTATCCCATGAGATGAGACTACAAACTGTAATAGCTTCTAGTAGCAGGAATAGTGAATTGATCTGATCTTGGTGTCAAAAGCCCAAAGCTGGCTCAATTGAACCGTTTTTTTTTCAAAAATAGCCATTCTACGCGTTTCTACAAGCGTTTGTAATCTGATCTTGTAGTTTGTAGCGGCCATGTCTACTTACAGCTTCAGTCATCACATCGCAGACATTGTCAACGATGAGTAGAGTGGTCTTCTTCTTGTTCATGATTTTGTGAGTGCTGTAGACCGAGCCGAGATGTGGCCGATTGCCGCCAGAAACCAACAAAGCGTCAACACTAAATTTGAAACTTTTGGAACTTTTGAAGCTTTTTGAAAGCTGTCAATAACAAAATCAGGAAGATTTGAAGAACGAACGTGTCAAGCTTTGTTCCAAGAAGGGAAGAAATGTCTGATCGCTTTGAGAAGGCCAAAAGATATTTCCTAAAAAGGTTACGGTAAAGTCTTTGCTTTAAAGTACCTCAAATTCTTCGCATTCAGAGTGTTCTTCAACGTGTCAATGTACTCTTGCTTGTCCTACTTATCACCCTAAAATTCCTTATATATTGGCCAATAAACTCACTTCTATAGATTTACAACAGGGTAAAGGATTATGTAAAATTTTTGGATTTGAAAGTTTAGAATGAAAAGTTTTTGGAAAATGAGTTATTAGAGAATAGGGAAGCTTTGGCAGGGTTTTGGTTAAGCTGCACTTTAATACAAATCTTTGCTAAATTCAGTAGCGTATCGAAACAAACTACTCACAAATGTTCACTCGTTAACTTTTCAACATGAAACTAGAGCGGGATCAGTATATTTTCCGGTTTGGCAAAAATAACATGCTTTTCATATCTGTTTAAACTCACGTCCTGCAAAGGTGAATGGAAACGAAAAATTTCAATGTAAAATTGAATTGCAATGTAAAACATCACTCCGTTCTCAAGACGCACGTTCATGATCTAGATTGAATTAGCTGAATTTCTTGACATTATATATTAGAATATTAGAATATTAGATCTTTTTCATTTATTTTATTCGAATTATAATTGTTTACCTTGTCTTTGCAGTACTCAAGGATTCCGGCGGTGGTTGAAGTGCAGTGCACGAGAATGATCGCCATAATTCGATTTGGGTACTCCATCTAAAGAGAAATTTTCATTTTAATGTATGCAATACATTCACGTAGCTAATTCATCAATAACTTACAGCAAAACGAGCAATAATATTCGCGCCAGCTCCCTCGCCGAATCCGATGCACGACTTGACGTCAAGCTTCTCCAAAACGCACAACAAATCCTCGCCGATTTGGGTAAGAGTTGGGAAACTGAAAATAGTTAATTGCAATAGAAAACTGTTTTCAATTATTTAATATGGTACTGTTCTATTAGGCGAACACAAAAATTAACGGACGCTGTTGAAAAATAGCTTTCAAGGTGGTGGCGAGCCGTTCCTCGCTACTTCTTGTTCATGCACTTGACCGAGCCAGAGGCGCTCAATGATTTGAATGTGGATGTTGGGGTCGAACGGGTTAAGGAAGTGTATGTTGTGGTTCACGATTGCTTCCTTGAGATTTTTTGTCCAATAACCTTTCCACGAGTCACTGTAGATGTAGTCACAAGTTCCCGGTTCGATGTTCTCCATTTGCTTCTCCAAATTTCGGCAGAACGATCCGCAAAATAGAGTTGATCCAGGGGTAAATTTGTGTCCGTCTAATAGAACAGTACCTTTAATATTTAATACCAACTCTCCAACAAATTCAGCAGAATGATCCTCTTGTCCGGGCACACAAACGTGAAGAAAAATCGTCTTCGCTTTCACATCAGCCATCGATGGATGATTGCAGAAGCGGATGAAAGATTTATCTAAAAAGTTAGGTAACTTTTAAATACATTTTTCTATTCTCTACTACCATTTGTCTAAACCCAAATCAATTGAGTTTTAGCATTTATATTAGGTCCTTGCAAAAGAAACTGCCGATTATAACCAACATTTGAACAACCCAAAAATCAATAAGAAACTAACTTTATTCCAAAAAATTTTTTGCCATTACTATCAACCATGTTCTTACATTTTTTTGTGTAGACTTTGGATGTCTGATTCGAAAAATTCGGGGTCGAAAACTGAACCTTTACCCAATAATTCACGATTCACAAGCTTTAAACTTGCTTGGAAAACCTGGAGAAAAACATCAACTCGAACTCTAATCTAATCTGTCTTTTTGGTAAAACATTCAAAGTTTAAGTCAAAATGTTAAACGTTAAAATCTCACGATTAGTTCCAATGTCGTGAACGGTGAGGATGACGGTTTTGCCGGCTCTCTCCTCAAGATTTCCTTGTACATAGACATGGAGAACACCACAGTGGGTGGTTTGCACTGGGAGAAGCTGAAAATTTACAACTTATCACATCATTTTCATCTTTTACTCAAGTCGATTAGATAAAAGGCCAAGTTTTTGAACCCTTGGACAATAAAAACAGTTGTTTGTCTGCCTTTTCTCAAAGAGCTCATCAATTAAGACATCTGAATTCAAGTTTTAACCCTAGTCCTTGAAAAGTTAGCTAGAAATCCTGAATGTTTACGCTTTTCCATCTAAACCCTATAAATCAAGAAGGAATTTGGAAAAAGCCCGTTATCACGTATCACGAAAGTCCCAAAGTTAGAAAATTCTTTTGTGGGTTGGACTGGGAAGAGAAAAAAACGACGCAGCTGGGATTTGAACCTCTCGCTTACGACTCTCGCTTACCAGACGAATACTTTACCAATGAGCTACGCCAACAAGAGACCGATCGCTGTTGTATGCTTTAATGAAAGAAACCTAATGTCATTTTGTTGTAATTGTTAAGCTCTACAGAATGACACCAAAATCATAAAGATTAGCCCACTTAGAAGAAAGTTGTGATGAGTTGCGTAACGACGCAAAAAAACATTGACGCAAAGTAGCCACCCCCATCTACCGTAAGCTAACCGTCTTCGAAAACCTTTCACTTCTAAAACAGATTTGAGCACAAAATCAAGACTACAACTTAATCCCGGATTTGTTTTTTGTTTGTCGTTTAAAAATGCTCAACTCACCATGACATCCGCAAATTCTGTCATCGTTGGAATCGATTGTTTATCTGAAATGGAAATTGGCTTTAATGTCAAAGACAAAAGCTCAGAAGAAAATAGTCAAAATGATCAAAAGAATATTCAAAAATATGATGTAACAGGAATTCTAGCTATATAAGACTTTTTTCATCATGAATGAAGAAATTTGAATGATGCAAAGCCTACGCATTTCTAGAGCCTTCTAGCTGAGCTTGATGATGTAACTAGTCTGCTTAAACTACTAGTCTGCTTAAATTAAATAAGTTTAAGTAGCTAATCAAAAGTCATAGCTGATAAATGAATCAAAGAAAACTATTTTCAGTTTTTATTCAAGTAAACAACGTTTTTGGATTCATTTGCCGGAGCACAAGAAATGGGAAGAAATGGGCAAAAGGGAAACAAGGTGAATCACAACGATTTCTCCCTTTTTTCTTTTCATTTTGCATTCAAAAAGAGTCCAAAGATTCTTGTTTATCGAAATCTTTTTCAAAAAACGAAAAACATTTTGATTAAAAAGGCTAGAGAGATCAGAATTTTAAAATCAAAGTTTTTCCTAGCGGAATGATTCAAAATTCATGGTCGTAAATGTTAAATATTATAATATTTTGAAAAGATTGAATTTCAAATTACGGAATGGTTAAATGCATTTTTATCTTCTGATCGATAAAATTAACGGAGTATCTTTTAATGCAAATTTCCTCAAAGCTTTTCAAGCTAATACTAAAAAATGAGCTAAACCAATTGCCAAATCATTTAGCAACTTTAAAATCAAACTTTTAAATAGTCAATAAATTCTATGCTGCAAAAGATAATGCCTCTGAGCCTTGGCTGACCTTTTCGTTGGTTTTAAAATTCCGTTATCGAGTTGGAAAAAGAACTGATAACACTGTGAGAACAACAAGATTTTATGCATTGGCTTTTAACTGTAAACATCGTGAAATTTAAATGATTGATTTAATTTTAGTTTTGCAAGGTGATAAAATCTGGAATAAAAATAGAAATGCATTAAAAATTTAAGAAAATGGCGGGGTTTTGATTTCGGAGTCAGAATTTCGGAGTCGAAAAGCGAAATTCGTTTTGTTGCTCTTTGAAATCAACAAATATTTAAAGCAAAATTGAATCTTTCATTTGTCAAAGTTTCAAGATGAAATTGGAAAGGAAATTGTTAAGTTAAAATGTTCAAAATGACTTTTAATGCTAAATCTGTTATTTATTTATATATATGCTTTATTCATGGAGCCAATAGAAGCGAATCAGATAATCATAACTGCATATAACATATTGCTACAATACTCTCACCGAAAAAAGAGAGAAAACTAAAGATAGTCCAGTAAGAGTACAGTTAGGAAACACAGATACAAAAAGATTAAATAGAGGGCAGATTTGACATGGCCATAAGGTCTAATTCGTTCACAGATACTTTGAATTTTCCTACAGACGAGAAGATACCAGACGGGAGCTTATTCCAAACCCTACTAATACGGTTCGCAAAAGAATGATAAAGGGAAAGATGATGGGGATGAGAACCGACCGAAATTTGATAAGAATGACTACGTGAACTTCTATAAATTTCTACAATTGTTAAGTTAAAATGTTCAAAATGACTTTTAATGCTAAATCTGTGATTTATTTCAGAAAACTATTGTTAAGTTCTTTTCAAAATAATTTGCCTTATCAAATAAAGTTTAGATTTTAGCTTAAAAGCTTTCAATTTAAAAGAAGTACAAGTTTTAGGGCAAATTGCAAGATAAAATACTTCAAAAGCTTAATTAGTTTAAAAATATTCACAAATACTTCAAATAATCCTCAAAATACATTAAAAATACTTCAATTACTTTAAAAATATTCAAATAATACTCAAAATACTTTCAAAAATACTTCAATTAATTCAAAATACTTTTAAAATGCTTCCCTTTGAGTACTGGACCAAATTCCACTTCTATTTGACTCAAATTGGAAGTTTTTTTGAGTGAATGCCCAAATGGAATGGCTGAGAAAACATGGAGATTGAGAAAAGGGAAAATGAGGACGCTAATGGAGAGTGTGGAGATGTTTTTATTTTATTTTATTTTATGTTTTTATTTTACGTTTTTATCTTCACATTTTGTAAACAAATGTTTATCGCAAAGGAATTTCAAAGCGAAATTTGCCCTTCCAGTTGCTTTTTGGAATTGGAAAGAAAAACAATGAGAGAGCTAGAAACGGAAACTTTCATTTACAATTCAAAACCAAACTTGTAACTAAACATAGTAATGTAGATTATATAAAATGCTTAAAATCCTTCAGTTAGTAAACATCTCCTTTCCTCAAAAAAAGCCAAAACATTTTTTCCTTTTTCTAACAAATTTTTATCGCACAGTGAAATTTTCTAGTGAATTTTGGCAATTCGAAGTGAATATTGAATCAATTTCTCGGAAAAAAAAGAATAAAATGTCAAATTTCCTTACAGAGAAAGATGAATTTAGATAAAAAGCTGCTTAAATCCAAAAATAGACCAATATCCTTTATGTTTTCGAGTTTTCCATTACATTTTCTGAAATTGGATTCTTTTTATCTCAGCGATAAACATGATAAACAAAATGGCAAAGCTAAAAGCTAAAAAGCTAAAAAGCTCAAAGAAGAGAAAAACAAAGATCTTTTATCTTTTCTCGTCTCTTTACCTTTTTAAACAAAATGTTTACCGCAAGATGAATGAATTGGAGAAAGAACCTCATGTGTTTTTGCCTTTTATGAATGAATAAGCAATAATAATACAATATAATACAATTTAAACCGGATCATCACACTTTCAAATAAAAGTAATCCGAAAGTAATCGAGAAGTAATCCGCAGTTTCTTTTGCAAGTACCTAATATCTTTTGGAAAAAAGTTATTTTCTTGAGGTTGAGAACAACATCTTGTTTTTGAGCAAAGGAGAAAGACCGATTCCGACATCACATCCAGAACTTCACGGAAAGAAAGTTATGCTGCCGGTCTTTTGGAATATGGAAGGAATCGTTTATTTTAAACTACAAAAATCTTCAAAAACTATAACTTCTCAAAGCTACGCCGAACAGCTGAAGAAAGTTGAAGAAACACACATCAAACTTGGCTCAAAACACCATAGAAGAATTAGGCTGGAAACTTGTGCCTCATCCGCCCTATTCGCCTGATATCGCTCCCTCAGATTGCCACTTGTTCCTGTCTATGCAAAACTCTCTTGCAAGGCTAAAGTTTAACAATCCTGAAGAAGTCGAAATTTGGGTGCAAGAGTACTTTGCATCGCAGGACCCCGAATTTTTCGAATCAGACATCCGAAGTCTACGCAAAAAAATGTAAGAACATAGTTGATAATAATGGCAAATATCTTTTGGAATAAAGTTAGTTTATTATTGATTTTTGGGTTGTTCAAATGTTGGTTATAATCCGCAGTTTCTTTTGCAAGTACCTAATAGTAAAAATTTATCAAATCAATAATCAGTGTATTCTGAGAGTTAAGTCCTCTATAAATTGGTTGTTTTTGTTTTTGAAATGAATCAAAGAGTTGGAAATCGATGAATTGTTAGTTGAATTATTGCGGAAAAGAATCCTGTTTGGCTTATTTTGACAAAAAACCATTACCGATTGACTTAATGTACATTTTTTGTTTACATATTTGAAAATATAAACTAAGGCAAGTCTCAAAAACTCAATGTTCATCCTGTGACACCGTTAAACCGCAATAAACTCTTACAAAAATCTCAATTTCTCACAATTCCCACGGATCTACAGGACTTGATTTGTGATTTCTGGGATAATTCTTGTTTGATGCAAAGCACAAAACTGATTCGTCGCGATTTTTTGAATCATTTATTCCAAAAACGAATTCACGAGATTTATTTGACAATTCAAGCATTATTCCAATCCCAAAAGCATGAATTTTATTTGAAGAAAACACAGGGTAAAGGTACATAGAATTTGCCGAACTAGTGAACGAGCAAAATGTAAAAAGATCTAAATATCAGCGTTTACGCATTCTAAACTTTCTTGTGACTCCTTTTTTTCGGTTTTCCATGGGTCAATTTGTAATTCGGTTACCGTATTTTCTCTAATAGTAGTGCACCCCAGCGAGCCGAGTTGGTGACTATTTTACGGCTTTCAAAGTTTTCACAGAAGCTCAACACTTAAATCCCGCACAAGATCTCATCGTCAGCTACATTTTCCGTCAGCCACATCAATAGGTTCTGATAAGCGGTTTTCGAGATTTCGAGCAATTTAGGCGACGATTAGGGTGCACTACTATTAGAGAAAATACGGTATCTATTACACTTAAGAATATTATCCAAGTGATCTTGCTGACTAGAAAATATAATAGACATTATTTTAGACTTCTTGTTCTTGTTCAAGATCTTGACTAGAAGAATAATATCTATTACATTTTCATTTTGGTTACCATATTGTCCCTAATAGTAGTGCCGAGTTGGTGACTATTTACGGCTTTCAAAGTTTTCACAGAAGCTCAACACTTAAATCTCGCACAAGATCTCATCGTCAGCTACATTTTCCGACCCCACATCGATAGGTTCTGATAAGCGGTTTTCGAGATTTCGAGCAATTTAGGGTGCACTACTATTAGAGAAAATACGGTAATTTGCCGAACTAGTGAACGAGCAACTCAAGTGTCAGTATTGAAAAAGTCTACTCATCCAAGCATCGGGCCCTTTCAATCTATTTAGCTTTTCTATTTCTATGATTCGATCTTTGAAACGACTCAAACTAATCCCTTTCCTCAATCCAAGAATAGCTTTGACTCTAGTGAAGGTGAACAAATTCACGTATTGCGCTTATTCATCCATAAAAGATTACTTCACAAATATCGGAAAGTGAATTTTAGAAAGAGGATTTCAACCATAACCAATTAACCAATGAGCTCATTTATAGAGGGCTAAATTTAAGCGTTTTTGAAATCACTCAACGTTTGCCTAAACTCAAAAATTTAAAGCTTTATTACCAATCTTTGACTTGTAAACAACTCATCTTGAGTTCTCAAATTTTTTTAAATCTGAAGGATCAATCTCAAACAAAAAAAAAGGCAAAAACACATGGGGTTCTTTTTTCAATTCATTCATCTTGCGGTAAACATTTTGTTTAAAAAGGTAAAGAGAAGAGAAAAAATAAAAGATCTTTGTTTTTCTCTTCTTTGAACTTTTTAGCTTTGCCATTTTGTTTATCAAGGATTTTTTCAGCTTGAATTTCGATTGCACTAGGTTCTTTTAAGTTTTGTGAAAATCGATCAGTATTTGCACTCACTATCTCTTTCGAAACTTATTGCTAAGATAAAAAGAATCCAATTTCAGAGCATGTAATTGAAAACTCGAAAACATAAAGGATATTGGTCTATTTTTGGATTTAAGCAGCCTTTTATCTAAATTCATCTTTCTCTGTAAGGAAATTTGACATTTTATTCTTTTTTTCCGAGAAATTGATTCAATATTCACTTCGAATTGCCAAAATTCACTAGAAAATTTCACTGTGCGATAAAAATTTGTTAGAAAAAGGAAAACTGTTTTGGCTTTTTTTTGAGGAAAGGAGATGTTTACTAACTGAAGGATTTTAAGCATTTTATATATTCTACATTACTATGTTTAGTTACAAGTTTGGTTTTAAATCGTAAATGAAAGTTTCCATCTCTAGCTCTTTCATTGTTTTTCTTTCGAATTCCAAAAAACAACTGAAAGAGCAAATTTCGCATTGAAATGCCTTTGCGATAAACATTTGTTTACAAAATGTGAAGATAAAAACGTTTTGGCTTTCATTTTTTTTAGGGAAAATGGGGTTGTTTACTAGCTGGAGGGTTCTCTTGGGTTTGTCATGTGCCTTGTGGATGGAATGGGGCTGTGCCCCTCTCAATGCGGGGTGGCGATATCGATTCCGCCGGGGGTGAAGGGGAGAAGGGAATGGGCAGGAATGGGGATGGACATTGGGCACTCGATTAGCTTTTCCCTTTTCGATACATCTCCACACTCTCCATTAGCGTCCTCATTTTCCCTTTTCTCAATCTCCATGTTTTCTCAGCCATTCCATTTGGGCATTCACTCAAAAAAACTTCCAATTTGAGTCAAATAGAAGTGGAATTTGGTCCTGTACTCAAAGTGAAGTATTTTAAAAGTATTTTGAATTAATTGAAGTATTTTTGAAAGTATTTTGAGTACTATTTGAATATTTTTAAAGTAATTGAAGCTTTTGAAGTATTTTACCTTGCGATTTACCCTAAAACTTGTACTTCTTTTAAATTGAAAGCTTTTAAGCTAAAATCTAAACTTTATTTGATAAGGCAAATTGTTTTGAAAAGCTTGATACAATAGTTTTCTCTAGCTTGATAGCTTGATACAATAGTTTTCTCAAATAAATCACAGATTTAGCATTAAAAGTCATTTTGAACATTTTAACTTAACAATTTCCTTTCCAATTTCATCTTCAAACTTTGACAAATGAAAGATTCAATTTTTGCTTTAAATATTTGTTGATTTCAAAGAGCAACAAAACGAATTTCGCTTTTCGACTCCGAAATTCTGACTCCGAAATCAAAACCCCGCCATTTTCTTAAATTTTTAATGCATTTCTATTTTCATTCCAGATTTTATCACCTTGCAAAACTAAAATTAAATCAATCATTTAAATTTCACGATGTTTACAGTTAAAAGCCAATGCATAAAATCTTGTTGTTCTCACAGTGTTATCAGCTCTTTTTCCAACTCGATAACGGAATTTTAAAACCAACGAAAAGGTCAGCCAAGACTCAGAGGCATTATCTTTAGCAGCATAGAATTTATTGACTATTTAAAAGTTTGATTTTAAAGTTGCTAAATGATTTGGCAATTGGTTTAGCTCATTTTTTAGTATTAGCTTGAAAAGCTTTGAGGAAATTTGCATTAAAAGATACTCCGTTAATTTTATCGATCAGAAGATAAAAATGCATTTAACCATTCCGTAGTTTGAAATTCAATCTTTTCAAAATATTATAATATTTAACATTTACGACGATGAATTTTGAAGCATTCCGAAGCAGCAGTTTGAATTTTGAAGCATTTTGAAGCAGCAGTTTTGAAGCAAACTTTGATTTTAAAATTCTGATCTCTCTAACCTTTTTAATCAAAATGTTTTTCGTTTTTTTGAAAAAGATTTCGATAAACAAGAATCTTTGGACTCTTTTTGAATGCAAAATGAAAAGAAAAAAAGGGAGGAATCGTTGTGATTCACTTTGTTTCTCTTTTGCCCATTTCTTCCCATCTCTTGTGCTCCGGCAAATGAATCCAAAAACGTTGTTTACTTGAATAAAAACTGAAAATAGTTTTCTTTGATTCATTTATCAGCTATGACTTTTGATTAGCTACTTAAACTTATTTAATTTAAGCAGACTAGTAGACTTGTTGCATCATCAAGCTCAGCTAGAAGGCTCTAGAAATGCGTAGGCTTTGCATCATTCAAATTTCTTCATTCGTGATGAAAAAAGTCTTATATAGCTAGAATTCCTGTTACATCATATTTTGGATATTCTTTGATCATTTTGATCATTTTGTTCTGAGCTTTTGTCTTTAACATTAAAGCCAATTTCCATTTCAGATAAACAATCGATTCCAACGATGACAGAATTTGCGGATGTCATGGTGAGTTGAGCATTTTTAAACGACAAACAAAAAACAAATCCGGGATTAAGTTGTAGTCTTGATTTTGTGCTTAAGTCTCCAAAAACGGAAGTGTTTATAGTGCCAAACACTTCTATTTCCATTTTTAGCCACTTCAAAATATTTAGCATTCAACAATTCCCTAACAATAAACTTATCCAGTTGTTGTCGAGCGAATTCCTTCAAAATCCTATTGAGAAGTGGGCTTGGGGGTTTGAAAAGTGGAAAGGAATGGGAAAAGGTGGACAGATAGGAGAATGAAGTTATTGAAAGGAGAGGGTTTGGAGAAATGGAAGTAGAGCTTGGTTAGGGATTTCAAAAAGAAGATAAAAGGCTGAGGGAGCTGTGGTAGATTTTGATAAAAATTTAGAGAAAAAGTGTGATGGCTCAGAGCCAAGTAGGAGATGGAGAGCTTTAAAAGGATCTAGACGGATCGAGTTGACTAGAAGAGATGGATGTTGGTGATGAAAAATAGCTGACCTAACTAAATGAAGACTTAGAAACTCAAAGAAATAATGGCTGGAGGGTAAAAGTGAAAGGTTTTCGAAGACGGTTAGCTTACGGTAGATGGGGGTGGCTACTTTGCGTCAATGTTTTTTTGCGTCGTTACGCAACTCATCATAACTTTCTTCTAAGTGGGCTAATCTTTATGATTTTGGTGTCATTCTGTAGAGCTTAACAATTACAACAAAAATGACATTAAAATCATAAAGATTGAGAGACTTAGAAGAAAGTTATGGTGAGTTGCGCAGAAGACTTAGTGGCGTAAAAAATTTTGGCGGAAAGTAGCAATCTCTGGGTAGATTTTGGTGCTGAAAACAGCTGATCTAGAACTAAAGGAAGATTTAATATGGGAGAATATTTAAAGCTTTAAAAAACCTGAATGATATTTTGAAAAGAATAGAATAGGCGATGGAGATTTGGGGAAGAGATTTAAGTAAGAAATAGAGTCTGTTTTTTGGTCAGAATAAAATAGGAAAGCGTAGTGGAGAAGTAAAGTGCCAATGTTTTCAAAGAAGATAGAGAATGGAGAAGAGAATCGATGTGTTTGGGTCCTTTAGAATAAAGCGGTTGCGCGGGGAGAAGGCCAAGGCCCAACCCCTCCCTTCTTGCCATACACAAACAACTCTCCTTTTTTCCTCAAAATTCTTCTCTCTTCTTCATTTTTCTATCCCACCACTCGGCGCCTAAATTCTAAACAACTTTCATTCTGAACTTCCACTCACTGGTGAAAGTTTTCAAATTTCCTACTGAACTTTACTAAATTGAAGAAACATGCAATCTTCTGGTGAACAGATACCGGTAGGTTTCTTTCATTAAAGCATATAACAGCAACAGATCTCTTGAGCTCATTGGTAAAGTGTTCGTCTGGTAAGCGAGAGTCGTAAGCGAGAGGTTCGAATCCCGACTGCGTCATTTTTTTCTATTCCCAGTCCAACCCACAAAAGGATTTTCCAACTTTGAGACTTTCGTGATACGTGATAACGGGCTTTTTCCAAATTCCTTCTTGATTTATAGGGTTTAGATGGAAAAGCGTAAACATTCAGGATTTCTAGCTAACCTTTCAGGGGCTAGGGTTAAAAATTGAATTCAGATGTCTTAATTGATGAGCTCTTTGAGAAAAGGCAGACAAACAACTGTTTTTATTGTCCAAGCGTTCAAAAACTTGGCCTTTTATCTAATCGACTTGAGTAAAAGATGAAAATGATGTGATAAGTTGTAAATTTTCAGCTTCTCCCAGTGCAAACCACCCACTGTGGTGTTCTCCATGTCTATGTGCAAGGAAATCTTGAGGAGAGAGCCGGCAAGACCGTCATCCTCACCGTTCACGACATTGGAACTAATCGTGAGATTTTAAAGTTTAACATTTTGACTCAAACTTTGAATGTTTTACCAAAAAAACAGATTAGATTAGAGTTCGAGTTGATGTTTTTCTCCAGGTTTTCCAAGCAAGTTTAAAGCTTGTGAATGATGAATTATTGGGTATTGAGTTTTCTTCTTCTTAAAACTCTCTGCTTTTAACCTAAACTACACAAACAACAAACAAACTTAAAGAAACTTAAAACTAAAACTCTATGTTCAGTTGAAATCTTTAAAATCACTTCTTAAAGTCTTCCCTGGTTTTTTTTCTGCTTTTAGCTATGCAAATTGAAACTCAATTTCCCTTTTGAACAAACATAGCTAAACTTGGAATCTTTCCCAAAAAAAAAATCATTTTCTGAGCTCTGAATGAAAGGCTGAGGACAACATCTTATTTTTTTTTTCTTTGCTTCTGGACCTTGAGCCTCTTTAGGATAGAGAAGGACCGCGTGATGCCGTTTTCCTTTTCCTCAGCTGGGTCAACACCGTCAACATCCTTCTCTTTCTTTTTTAAAAGCTTTTTTCATCTTGTTGACCGTGTTTTTTTCGTGGCCCGCCTCAAAAAAAATGATCCGATTACCGAGAAGAAGTTTTCGACGACTTCGAGTTTTAAGAAGAGAGTTTCACTAGCCAAAATTTGTTAAGATCAGAGTAAACAAGGAAAGAGGAAAAAGAAGAAAGAATATTGGAGTTGAAAGTAACAAAATTGAATTTAATAAGTCACTCAAACTTTTACAAAGTATAAATGCTAAAACTCAATTGATGTGGGTTTAGACAAATGGTAGTAGAGAATAGAAAAATGTATTTAAAAGTTATCTAACTTTTTAGATAAATCTTTCATCCGTTTCTGCAATCATCCATCGATGGCTGATGTGAAAGCGAAGACGATTTTTCTTCACGTTTGTGTGCCCGGACAAGAGGATCATTCTGCTGAATTTGTTGGAGAGTTGGTATTAAATATTAAAGGTACTGTTCTATTAAACGGACACAAATTTACCCCTGGATCAACTCTATCTTGCGGATCGTTCCGCCGAAATTTGGAGAAGCAAATGGAGAACATCGAACCGGGAACTTGTGACTACATCTACAGTGACTCGTGGAAAGGTTATTGGACAAAAAATCTCAAGGAAGCAATCGTGAACCACAACATAAACTTCCTTAACCCGTCCACCCCAACGTCCGCATTCACAAATCATTGAGCACAAATCATTCCCAACATCCACAAATCATTGAGCGCCTCTGGCTCGGTCAAGTGCATGAACAAGAAGTAGCGAGGAACGGCTCGCCACCACCTTGAAAGCTATTTTTCAACAGCGTCCGTCAATTTTTGTGTTCGTCTAATAGAACAGTACCATATTAAATAATTGTAAATAACTTTCTATTGCAATTAACTATTTTCAGTTTCCCAACTCTTACCCAAATCGGCGAGGATTTGTTGTGCGTTTTGGAGAAGCTTGACGTCAAGTCGTGCATCGGATTCGGCGAGGGAGCTGGCGCGAATATTATTGCTCGTTTTGCTGTAAGTTATTGATGAATTAGCTACGTGAATGTATTGCATACATTAAAATGAAAATTTCTCTTTAGATGGAGTACCCAAATCGAATTATGGCGATCATTCTCGTGCACTGCACTTCAACCACCGCCGGAATCCTTGAGTACTGCAAAGACAAGGTAAACAGTTAGAATTCGAATAAAATAAATGAAAAAGATCTAATATTCTAATATTCTAATATATAATGTCAAGAAATTCAGCTAATTCAATCTAGATCATGAACGTGCGTCTTGAGAACGGAGTGATGTCTGATGGAGCTTGGGATGTGCTCGCTGCTCATAAATTTGGATCGGTTGGTGTTAGATTTACTTCAATATACGTTTGTTTTCCAAAATTTACATTGCAATTCAATTTTACATTGAAATTTTTCGTTTCCATTCACCTTTGCAGGACGTGAGTTTAAACAGATATGAAAAGCATGTTATTTTTGCCAAACCGGAAAATATACTGATCCCGCTCTAGTTTCAAGTTGAAAAGTTAACGAGTGAACATTTGTGAGTAGTTTGTTTCGATTCGTTACTGAATTTGGTAAAGATTTGTATTAAAGTGCAGCTTAACCAAAACCCTGCCAAAGCTTCCCTATTTTCTAATAACCCATTTTCCAAAAACTTTTCATTCTAAACTTTCAAATCCAAAAATTTTACATAATCCTTTACCCTGTTGTAAATCTATAAAAGTGAGTTTATTGGCCAATATATAAGAAATTTTAGAGTGATAAGAAGGACAAGCAAGAGTACATTGACACGTTGAAGAACACTCTGAATGCGAAGAATTTGAGGTACTTTAAAGCAAAGACTTTACCGTAACTTTTTTAGCAAATATCTTTTGGCCTTCTCAAAGCGATCAGACATTTCTTCCCTTCTTGGAACAAAGCTTGACACGTTCGTTCTTCAAATCTTCCTGATTTTGTTATTGACAGCTTTCAAAAAGCTTCAAAAGTTCCAAAAGTTTCTAATTTAGTGTTGATGCTTTGTTGGTTTCTGGCGGCAATCGGCCACATCTCGGCTCGGTCTACAGCACTCACAAAAACATGAACAAGAAGAAGACCACTCTACTCATCGTTGACAATGTCTGCGATGTGATGACTGAAGCTGTAAGTAGACATGATCTACAAACTACAAGATCAGATTACAAACGCTTGTAGGAACGCGTAGAATAGCTATTTTTGAAAAAAAAACGGTTTAATTGAGCCAGCTTTGGGCTTTTGAATGACACCAAGATCAGATCAATTCACTATTTCTGCTCCTAGAACGAGCTATTACAGCTTGTAGTCTCATCTCATGGGATAAGTCTAGAAAACCTGGAAAAAACGTTAGATTTCAACGCAGAGATGATGGATTAGCCTGATCTTGGTGTCATTCGAAAGTTAGCTCGATTTTTTTTGGTAAAAATAGCCATTCTACGCGTTTCTATAAGCGTTTAAGGTCTGAGATTGTAGTTTGTAGCGGCCATGTCTAGCTGTAAGGATCCAAGATTAATATTGAAAGATTGTGATGTGATGAAGGGAAAATCTATGATTGGATTTATTTAGCCAGACAACTTGGCTCGTTCATTGATCCTTTTGTGCAAAGGATGTGGTGTGTTGAGCGGTGTGGCCATTCCCGGAATGGAACGTCAGAGAACGCTCAGCAGGTAAAGAATTGTAGAACTGTAATATTCTAATAATCTTTATTTTCGATCTTTGAAAGTCACCATTGAAGGGATTAGGCATAAAGCTAGGTTAGATAGATCGTTAGGCCAAAAATGGGTAAGCGAATGATATAGTGCAAGTGTTATTGAAGCTAATAGTCAAATAAAAGTGTAAAAAGTATAATGAGAACTGTTTAGAAGTTCTAATACCTGAAAATTTGCTTAAACAAACAATTTAAAAATGATTCTCAAACTTTTCAGCTCCATGGAAGAGGCTGATCGTCCCCGACGACTCTCCGTCACCAATCCCCCTCCCATTCTTCAAGCCCAATAAAACGAAACAGCAAAACGATGTAAATCATTCTTGTAAAGCATTTATTTCTATTTTCAATTTTATTTTGTGATTGTGCAATCGTTTACCAACGGTGAATCCCCATTTTCGAGATTCCTTTTCTTCTGTCTTTTCTCTTGATCTTCTCCCTGCGATTATTCCATTTATAAGAAGAAAAAAGGTTTTCTTTTGGTTCATTTGAGCTCGGATTTCTTTTGGATTCGCCTACGTGTTTGATTTAATAAATCTTAAAATGTCAGCTCAAAAGACATGGGGATTTAAAAGTAAAAAATGAATGATAACTGAAAAAGCTGATTTAATTAAATTTGAGATGTTTCAATGTGCTTGAAATTGGAGGAAGGAGCAGAAAATTTTCAGCGATAAGGCGCGAGTCTCGTGTCAAACTTTGCAAGCTTTCTTGCTTATCGTTTGTTTCTCTCAAAATTCGCAGCATTTTTTCTGAAAACTTTTCAATTATGATCACAAACTTGCAAAAATTGGATGAAGAGCTGTCGATTCGAGAGCAAATAGCAAGAGCTGTATTTCAGTCGACATTCTCTGAGAATAGCTTGGTGTAAGTTTTAATAATCAAGCAATAAATTTGGCTAACAGCTTCCCAGTTTTGAAATTGATCTGTTCAAGATTTTCGGTAATGAATTAATTGCGATTTGATGTACAGTCATGTGCAAAAGTCCTTTAACACTCGATTTTCTTTTTTAAAGTTTATGCCGCCCTTTAAGCTATTAATAGTTTTAGTTACATAAATATGTGTTCTATTTATTTACACAAACATTGCTGCTATACAACACTTATTCATCAAGAAAAAAATATAATTGTCAAAACACCCCTAAAAATCGTGATGCTCTTTTCACACTTGCAAAAATTTTTATTATTTTCGTTCGCTTCTTATTTAGTTCTTCTTATTCGTATTTACTGGTATTAATTTATTTTTTTTAGATGCCAAGAGCGTATTTGTCAACTCCGGATAAAGAAATGATCATCGAGCAAGGAATGCCAAGGAAGACGTTGCTCGCCTCTTAGAATATACGCACACAACAGCTTCTCTTGTTATGGCAAAATGCGCCTGGAAATGTGCACAGATGTGGGAAAAAGAAATGATTAAGGATTACAGCAAAGAATGAAGACCGATTTGTTACCAGAGCTTTCAAGAAGGATCCGAATTTGATGTTGAATGATGGAGCCATTCTTTTCTAGCAAACTTCAAACAAGAATATTTTCCGCTGGACCTTGCATCGACGCTTACTTCAAGCAGCATTGTATACTAGAAGACCTGCTCTCAAGCTTATGATGACAGGCAAACATAAGAGACAACGTCTTCAATTTGCTCGAACATATTTAGCCGATGATTGGGCTCGAGTGATTTTCGTTGATGAAACAAAAGTTGATATTTTCCTTCGAATCGAAATTGTCTGATCCGACGTTCAATCAGAAAGCGATATCAACTCAAGTACTTGCAATCTACAATCTAGAAGTACTTGCAATCTACAATCTACCAACAGGTGGAGGATCAAGCATGTGTTTCGTTAAGGATAATTTCCTTTTTATGCAGATCAACGTGATTTCTTTAGGTGCGATGTGTAAAAGTTCAACTTCCGCTTGTTCTCGTAAAGTTAACAATGAATTCCTGCCAAAATATTGAGATATTGGACAGATTTCTACTTCGATGAATCCAGGATGTTCTTTGTCAAGTTAATTCGCCAGTACACAAAAGCAAACTTGGTGACTCTCGAATGAAGGAAAAGCATATTTACCGAGATTGGGATCAATCACGTTTCTTTGATCAAAGCTCCACCGGATTGCACCGGATTTAGATGTTATCGAGAATCTATGGGCCTATTTTAAATCAAAATTGCAAGAAAAACGATTCAATTCCAAAGTTGAGCTATGGTTTTACATCAGAAAAATTTGAAAGGCGATTGGACCTGGAATTCTTGATGAATTAATCGATGCCTACTCTATTAAAGAAGTACTTTTAGCAAAAGGAGAGTCGATAAAATATTAATTATAGCTTAATTTCGTCTTGTGCACCACGATTTTCAGGAGTTTTTTGACAATTTTATTTTTCTCTATGAATAAGTGTTGTATAGCGATAACGTTTGTGTAAATAAATTGTACATATATTTTTGGTAACTAAAACTATCACTAGCTTAAAGAGAGCTATGAACTTTATCAAAGAAAATCGATAAAACTTTTTAGAATTGAGTGTTAAAAGACTTTTGCAGACTGTATTTATCAATTTTCAGAAAGTATGGCCCTCATATCGGTAGCGAGTTCACTCCATCAAGACTTTTCGGTGGTCAAATGATTGCTCAGGTTGGGAATTGTAGTTGGAATTGATAAAGAGTTGAGAAAACCGAAATCTTGCTTTATTTTGATTGACATATCTGCTAACTTTTAGTCTCACTCTGCCTTTCGACAATTGTACCCGAACGATGAAATGAATAGTCTCTCATTCAAATTCTTGGCGCCAGGTTGATTGTTTTGATGTCAATCTTTTACCAGAATATTTAGGGAGTTGTGACAAACCAATTTCTTATTCTGTTGAAAGACTTGGTAGTCTGGCTCGAGTGGGAGTGATTCAAGATAAGAAAATGATTGCCATTTGTACAATAAAAGTGAGTTTCTGCAGTTATTTTTTTTAAATGTGTAAGGAAAAACAATGTATTTTAGATACGACAAAGTGTGGATGAGTTTTCGATTATTGGAGTCAAACAACCTATTGTACCGGATCCAGAGACGATGGATAAAGATCAACAGTTTTTCAAAGTAAGTTTTGAACAAATGCAAGACCGTTGATTTGCAATGTTGTAAATCAAGTCAGGTTGTGTATTAGAGAATTGAGCTCATAGCCGTATATCAAAGCTTCAAAAAACTAAGGTTAAGTCTTCTTTTGAATAGTAGAAGCAGTTTGCACAACAGTTTGCTAAACAAGATGAGTTTTGGAGCTCCAGTACAGCTTGACAAACCAAAACATTGATAGAGACTGAACTAGAAAACTTTGTAAGAATAAAATCAATTTCAGGAACTTGGCGCCGGTCGAGAGATCGATCTCAATCGTATTTTGGATGCTGTTCTCTTTGAGATTTACAAAGTTGAAATGAATGATCAAAGAATGCGTCTTTGGACAAGAATTCATCCAAAGATTAAAAGTTATAGAGACAAAAAGAACACAATAGGCTAATTGTTTACAGAATTTGTTAATCCTGAAGATCGAATCGATGTCTGTCTCATGTACACGGATTTCTTCACATTTCAGGTGAATGTCTAACTTGTTATTCTTGAGAAAACTGGTGAGAAAATTTAGTAATTGGTTTATTGATCCAAGAAGCACAAGCATTTCTCAAGTCTATCTAAAAATGACCAAAACTTTTAGGTCTGTTCCGAGCATCTATCCAAGTTCAACTTGTCTCTCGCTGGTGGAACAAGCCTCAGCCACAATGTCTATCTACATATGAGATCAGAAGATATTGATGTAATTCTCAACACCTTTTATATATTTATATATCTTTCAGGTTTACGAATATCACCTCTTTGAAGTAACTTTTGTGGCATTTTCATGGAATCGAGCCTTGCTTCGATGTGTTCTCTACAAGCGAACTCTTGAACCAATCATGTCCGTTCATCAAGAATGTTTTATTCAACCAAAAGTCGCAAAAATACCCGCAAAATTATAAATCAATTTCTATAAAATAAACGATTCATCAAATTTGTTCTAAAGTGGATGAAAAGGGTTTTTAAAACTGTTTCTACGGTTAGCTAAGTTTTCATAGTTCACAAATAGCAGAGATCATTTGAATGCCACTGTTCACCTTTTTATATTCATACTTTATTCAGGACATGAAATAAAGCGTAATCAGTCAGACAATACACAAATCTACACATAAATACATAGAGAAAGATGAGATATTTTACTCGGCGATGTGGAGCCGGGGAGAAAAGAAGATAGATAGAAGATAGGCTTCTTGCTTTAATAACCTCAAGCCATGAATGGGCCAACCCAGTGGAAGAGTGAACTCCGCTAGAGAAGGGATCTCTAGTCAGCTCTAGAGAAGAGACCTCTAGTCTGGGCGCACGGGCTAGGGAAGAGAACCCTAGGGGGGCCGAACCCCACACCCTCAGTTTGGAAGTGAGAACTTAACCAATACACCATGAGGGCCCCTTTTTGTATTATAACTCTCAGTTTTGTTGAATGAATAACAAAATGTCAAACAAATCATTCAAATGGGCAAAAGATTGACTTGAAAAAGTTAATCATTGCCTGTAAACAGCTCAAGAAAATATAGCTTAATCTATTAGGTACATGCATAAGAAATGCGGATTTCAACATTTTCATAAATTTCCAACGATAGAAACGATGAATGTTGTAAACTGATATCGATGAATGTTATAAACTATTTGAAAGTTGTAAATCTCCTCTATAAAATAGGCTAAAACGTGTTTCAATTGATCGAAGCGTTGAAGAAATTTCGAGGGCGAAATGCGAGTGACCAAAAAAGGACACTTTTTGAAAACCCCACTTTCTCAAGAGTTCGGTTTTGACTATATAGTGGAAAATGAGCGCCCTAAAATATCATTCAAAATAATAAATGGAAAATGACCGCCCTAGAATCATTATCCTAAAAATATCATTCAAAATAGTTAAGAGTTGGGATCATTTCATGGGAAAACTTTGTTTCTACAATAATTTTTCTTTTTGTGAAGAAGCCGGTTTTTTTTGACAATTTTGATGGTTTTGAATTTACGCTCTATCTAAATTTCTGTAAATGCATTTCCGTTAGACTTTTTTAATGAATTGATATATAGTTATACTTTTTAAAAACTTTATATTTGGGAAGCTAACTCTATTTTGACCACACTAAACTTGTCCCTAAAGTGACTCGATTCCTTTTTTGGTCACTCGCATTTCGCCCTCGAAATTTCTTCAATGTTTCGATCAATTGAAACACGTTTTAGCCTATTTTGTAGAGGAGATTTACAACTTTCAAATAGTATATAAGATTCATCGATATCTGGTTTCTATCGTTGGAAATTTATGAAAATGTTAAAATCCGCATTTCTTATGCATGTACCTAATATTTCTATGCCAAAGCTGACCAATATATTTCTGTATTTTCTTGCAATACTTATCAAGTTCAACGTTCAACGTATCTGCCAGTCCAAAGTCTTAAAAGCTTCACGAAAAGCTATAGTGAATCGATAAACATTGAATTTAGAGTTTCCTAGAAAAACATTACAAGTCTAGAAAGAGGAAATCTATATTTATCTAGAAAAAGGATACGGTGGCTTTCTCCTAATTTCCGAGGTTGATTACAGCCTCTAAATAACTGAATTTTGCTAATTAATGATTAAAACTATTAAAGTTTTATGAATACTTAAATATGCTCAAAACTTGTTTTCCAGATTTCACCTGTTTCATTGCCTAGAGTTTTGCTATTTCAATTCATCAAGATTTCCAGTAAAAATTCAAAGAAGGTGTTTTCACCTTTCGACTTCACAATTCCGCACTCACAGAAAAAAAAATTCCTTTCACTTGGCCTCAAAGCCCATATAAAGAATTTTATAGAGTCACTCGCATGACCATAAGTGGAGAGAAGGTGACGTCAAGCAAAAGAGAGGAAAAGAAAGGGAAAAGAGGGGAGGGACCTAGTGTATTGATCGAAAAAAAGGAGGGCTTCAACAAGAGGGTTGAAGAAAATAGCTTTGATAGGAACAGAGGGAAAGAGAGAAGAGATAAGAGAAGGATGGAGAGGTAGTAGGAGAAGAGGGGAGGGGCAAGAAGAGCCTCAGGCCCTCGTCAGCCGCCTCTTGGTCCCTTCTGGCTCTCCACCGCTTCACTTCTTCTTCACATGGGATGTGGCGCATCCGCGTGCTAACGGTGGTCGCCACCGTTCTCCTTGCGTGCCCTGCTAGCGCCAGCTTATTTGCAGGTTGGTTTCAAGTTGATCTGAGGCTTTGATTTGGAAAATTATGATGTCAAACTCTATTAAAAGAGTAGATTTCAATGTTTATCTATTAGCCAGAGTTCTTGAAATCCTTCCACACTATTTTAATGTTCTGTTGATCCATTTGATTTTCAATAGTTTCAGAAATCTTTGAATTTAGAACTAATCAGAGAAATTTATCAATTACAAGATATTTTAAAGCTTTTTAGACATTATTTACTCTTTTGAGCTGTCTAAGTGTTTAATTTGACTGAAATTTTGAAGAAATTGGACTCATAATGTAGCTGTTAGGTTCGAATCTGAGGAGACATCCATCTCCGATCCGGACGTCCGAATCTGAGGAGATTCATTCTCCTCTGAAACGGAGGTCCGACTCAGATTAGGACGTCCGGATCGGAGATGGACGTCTCCTCAGATTCGGACGTAACATAGCCATCATTAGCCATTATTCATTAGCCATCATTATTCATTATGATTCATTAGACATCAATTTACCTAATAAGGAAGTAAAATTTGAGCCTAACTTGTAACTTTTTCGTAACTTTTTCAGTTTAATTATTCAAAGAAGATTCTTGTTAATGTCTTTGTTCTTTTTAAAACCTTAAGCTAAAACAGAAACAAATCTTTTTATCAAAACTTCTCCTGCACTTTGAGTGCTTTGTTTTCACGTTCTTCCATTCATCACACTTGATCAAATTTCTATTTTTATTCAACCTTTCTCAAAAGAGGAATGAGTAATGTATGTATAGAAAAAAACATTATAGAAAAGTTCTATTGTTAAGTCTTTACTCAAAACAAAATATTCCGTTAATCATAGCATCATTTAGACTCGCTAATCCCCTTATTATTAAGAACTTTGACGTTTCTCACAAAGCGGAATTTCTCTTTTCTGATTTCTTTTCAATTTCCGCTTTGATTCTTTGATAAAAATTCTTTTCGAGGCAAGAAAGCCGCCAATAATCGACTTGAAATTGCCCATTAAAACCGCTATTTTCATCACTCGAGTTGACGCATTTCTTGGAGAAATTTTGTGGAAAAGTTGAAAATTTTTTTTGGATTAGTGGGTTTCTTGAAAGAGTGACGAAAATTAGAAATCGTTTTTCGAATCAGAAAACAGGATGACTTAGATTTGAAAGTCATTCGTTTTCTGTACAATGGTTAGTTCAAAAACTAGCATAAAAGCAATTAAAACTCATTTTTTTGGATAAGAATTACATAACACTTAGCCCATCAGAGTCACATAAAATATTTAAAGAAAAGTTTGACTTGTAAAAAGTTGCAGCTGCTTTAAAGTGATAAGTATGGATTCAAGCTTAAACTTAAAGTTGGCCAAAATCTCTGTACGATAAAGAAGATTTTTAACTAGTTGCTTTTAAGCTTTGTTGCTTGCTGTTGCTGCTAACTTGCTTGCTAACTAAGCTTTTAAACTGCTTTTAAGTTCTATTAAATCATTAAATTTCAATCAAACTGTTTTTCTTGAACTCTTGAACCAATTCTCAATCCTAATTCGAGAACTCTTCCAGGAACAAAAAACTTAAGTGTCTAGTTTATCAGCATTTCCGCTAGACTTGTCTCAAACATTAGTAAAACGTTTTCTGATTCTTCCTTCTTTTCATTCCCCATTCTCAAACCAATCTCTTATTTGAAATCGCAAAAATTTGTCACAAGATTTCTCGCCTCAAGGGAGGACAGATGGAAATCCAAATTTCCGTTCATTCACGCTCCGCCTTTTCTTTTCCTCATTTTAGAAAAGGTTTGCGTTTCCATGGCAAAAATATTTCCCTTTTTCACTCGCTTAGAAAGAAAGGAAAAAAACGAGGACCCCTTTAATGAGTCTTTTGCGGGGTAAAGCAAAGAAATTTTCTGAAAAATTGTGAAAAATTCGTTAACGATTTGGGGGGCAGAAGATTTATATGAAAATCAAATTTTACGGCGATTGATTACAGGCGATAAATCTTGATGATTGGGGTCGATTATAAATTAGAGTTCAAAATGAATTAAACGGAAGAATAAAGGTTTGAACGTTTGTGGCCTTTCAGCAATGGAGTTTCTGAATTCAGTCTTAAAGTTGGTTACAATATCATCAACTTCAATTTTCCAAAAGATACCAGTCAATCATGTGATCTGTTCTCTAATCCTTAACAATAAGTGCCCTTATTTTTACCTTACCCTTCTCAGAAAGTGCTTCAAGTTTCTCAGGATCTCTAGAAAAAAGCTTAGAGAATTGTTAATTTGATGCATCGTCTATAAAAGGGATAGACTTGATGAAGGCGATTGAAGAATGAAAGAGAAAAGGAAAGAAGAAAGAGAAAGGAGTAGAAGGCATTCATTGCCGATTCTAGACCTCTTCTCTCAAGGAGACCCAAGAGGGGCTCATTTGATCTGGGGAAGGCACGAGAAGGGCCCTGGGAGGCCCTTTCCATTCCACCCCCTCAGCCTTCTCGTGGTCACATTCCTTTCCCTTTCATCTTCAAATGGGGACTAGAGGAATAATTCAATTCTATCCAATGTCAATTTGAACAACTCTCGAGAGTTGCTTGGGGAATTAAGTGAATAAATTGAACACAAAAAGTTGATCTTGAAAAAAATCTAGATCTAGAAAAAAATAGATTCACAGGACTTTCACAGGACTAAAACGTTTTTTCAGATGGCGGCGCGAGTGGCAGTGAGGCTGTTGACTATGATTCACTTTTGAAAGCACAAATTGAACAACAACAGAGATTCGACGATGATCTCAAAGTGAGTGCGGGTATTCGCAAGGGAATCTTCAAAACAAAACAAACTAATTAGAGTTTTGAAAGGAAATCTGTCTAGCGATGAGTCCAAGTTGCTCAAATTTCACTCAGCAAAAACAAAGCGAACAAAGCGGATATTAATTGATCTCTAGAGTTGAATATACAATGAAAATAGCCTTGAAAAATAGCCACCATTAAACTACAAGATAAATTCATGATTCAAAAACTTGACCACAAAAGAAATTCATGATTCAGGAACTCTACGATCAAGAAATGACAAGAGAAGAGAGCGAAATGACCCAAAAAGCAGACTACGATAGACGACTCGCCGAGATTGTCGCTCAAATGGGACAAACTAGTGCGCCGGAGTTGAATTTGACTTAAAGATGACTTAAACTATGATTCAACTAAGAGAAAGAAATCAAGTTTTGACTAGAAAATACAAAAAAAAGCCGAAATGACCCAAAAAGTAGACTACGATAGACGACTCGCCGAGATTGTCGCTCAAATGGGACAAACTAGTGCGCGGGAGTTTGAATTTGACTTAAAAATGACTTAAAATATGATTCAACTAACAGAAAGAAATCAATTTTTGACTAGAAAACTAGATTTTTCTTTATCACAAAGTGCAAAAACGAATCTGGTTGACGTTAAGTTCACTAATTCTAAACATTTTGACATCATAAATCTAAGCTGAACTTTAAAAATTCGGATTTTTTGTGGATTTTCGGATAATCCATCTTTTTTTTAGGTCGTTTTTCTGCGATTATCTGGGGGTTTTTGGTCTAAAAGAAGGGTAGTACTTGAGAAATTCATCAAGGGAGGATTGAATTCACATCATAGATTCAAAAAAAAGATAAATTTTTTATGAGAATTTGATTTAGATTGCTAAAAATTGATTAAAACAAGCTTTTCTAGAAGAACAACTCGAAGTTGCTGATGTTTTTGGGCCAGAAACAGAACAAGAGCCGGCACCAGTGAAGGGAGAGCAACCTGAGAAGGAGCAAAAGGTGTAACACTTGTAAACAATTCGTCTAAGCTTTTCATTTTCAAATATTCAGTTTATAATCGAAGCTTAAATGTAAAAGTTAGAGAGTTTTTGCATTTTTGCAAACCTGGAATGATAGGAATTTCTTTAAGAATCTAAACTAAAACTCTGTTCATTAAAACTTTTCAGTTATAGCCTCAAATCTAATTTCATCAATCGATTTCTCCTGACTTTTTCATTTTCAAATTTCTAGGAGTCCATCAGCGAGCAAAATTCGGTGTCCGACGAAAAGCCCGTCGAGAAGCCGCAAAAGAAGGCGAGTTTTCCTCTTTTTCCTCTTTCCTTCGCTCATTCTCGATGCTTTTATCATCTTTGCTTTCACATTTTTTTTTGTCGGTGAATCAAGTGAATGCTCGGGTGTGAAATTCGAACATCTGAAAGGGGATTGGATTCCCATTTTTTTTCCCTTTTTATCAAAAGAACATCGAGAAAACATGATGACATTCTTGTTGTTAAGAAGATGAAATCAAGAATAAGATCATATCTGAAATAGAATACGATATAAACTTTACAAGAAAAAAGTGCTTAAAGTCTATTCCAGGCAGCCAAAGCCTTGTCTATTTATCGTTTCCACAAACAAATCACAAAAAGTTTTAAAAAGTTGCCTTTTTTTTCACTAAAACCTGCAAAAAGTTCTCCAAGTTAATTTCTGAACGTCTTGTTTAGGGACAAAGCGAATATGTGTCGTTTGTTGAGCCGGAAGTGGTCGGATATCGACAAAGAGATGTGCAAAGTTTGGAGAAAAGACGACTCGCTCAATCGATTCACGGGAACTCTTATTCTCCACGTGGTGACTCAAATCTAGCCATGATGGGTGAGTTTATTCATTGATGAATAGAAAAGGGGGAAAAAGATTCTTTCAGTACTTTGAAATGAAGTAAATCTGGGTTTTTGATCTTTCATTGACTAGATTTGCTTTTAAATTGTTGTCAAATAGAATACATTACAAATAGATTGGTTTAAATCAATGTAAAATAGAACAAATCACAAATAGGTTACTTTAAATTAGTGGAAATTAGAATAGATTACAGGATTAGCTACAGTTTTAGAAAGCCACATCTTTCCATAAGCCTGAGCTTTAACTAGTAAGCTTTAACTAGTAAGCAAGCCTATTAACTATTGGTTTAATCCACTCAAAACCTGTTTCATCTCATCAGAATTTCTCGTACCTAGTATTAAAGCTAATTGTCACTATTTAAAAATATCTACTAATAATCATAAAGGTTCGTACAACAAGTTCTACCATAAATGCTTTGCAGAATCTTCATCAGAATCTATATCTATCTTCGGTTACACCTCACCCAATAATCTCTTAGATCAATTTTGCAGAAAAATTCTTCTAAAAGCCGATCCAATGTTCTTTTTCCATTTTTTTTCTTTTCAATTTCCCTCCCTTTCATTCCCCACTAATCAGCCTATTGTCCGGAGGCCATCCCCTTTCAAGCCTTTTCCCCTCAACCTTTATCCATCCCATACCCCACACAAATTTGATTTCTCTTTTCATTTCTTTTGGTGAAATCACATGTGATGGCAAGGGTTCTGAAAATTAGAAAAAAACAGAAAAATGTAGCAAAAGAAAAGTTTAGCTGTTGGTTGCGTGCTGGTTGTTGGAATTGTTGGCGGAGCGATTGGAGGAATCGCTTATCGGTGAGTGGCTGGTTACAGCTACATTTTGGATAACATTATTTGTTGATTCAAATCATATATTTTCAAATTTTAGGCGAAGAAAGGAAAGCCCTGATGACAGTGAGTATGCTCCATATGCTGGAATTGGACCTTTCAGAAAAGGGAAGAAAGACACAAAGGTACGATTCTTGGAAAGGATTAGAACAGAGATTGAAATATCTAGAGTCTAGAAAGGGATTGAAATATACTCTGTCATCAACTCCATATTACTTATACTTACAGTAATTCACATTTACGAATCTGATGGGGGTCTAGAAAAGGATTGAAGTCTAGAAAAGGATTGAAATATACTCTGTCGTCAACTCCATATTACTTATACTTACAGTAATTCACATTTACGAATCACAACGAATCTGATTCACATTTACGAATCTGAAATCACGAATTCACATTTACGAATCCAGGGCGATGACGCTCTCGCCTACAAGGCTCAACTCCATCATTACCACCAGGCCAAGCAAAAGATTATTTGCGGAGATGATGCTCCAGGTTTAAATAAATGATAAGATAAATATGATGAGATTTCAGAAGTTGGATTAGAGTCTGATGAGGAGGAGTGCCCAGATGATGAGAATAACTACTCAGTGTATGAGTGTCCCGGATTGGCTCCAACTGGAGACATTGAGGTGAGGATTGAGTAGACAGGAAAATTCCAATCTGAACCTAATTCCACCTTACTTTTCTTAGCTATCTCTTGGCTAATTGCTCTAAAATTTTGTCTACAGATAGAAATCGATATTTCCAGCTTGTAGACAAAATTTTAGAGCAATCGGTCAAGAAACTTAGAAAACGAAGGTGGAATTAGGTTTGGGTTGGAATTTTCTCATATCTAGTGTTGAGTAATCAGCAGTACAATGTACAAAAGTTTTAACTAGCTGTAAAGACTATTTCAAAAGGCAAAACAATGCCTGTTTTTATCAAAATTGCCTTAAATAGTGGATTCTTGTACTTGTAAATGAGTTCTACATGCACAAGAAGAAGTACACAAACTGTTTTAACTGCTGAACTGCTGAACTTTACCTAATTTGAGCTATTTAAGCTATTCAAGCTAAACACAACTGTTCAGGTTCACAATCCCAACTTCGCCGCTCAACACTAGAGGCGACTTTCTCTTCATTTCCTCATTTCTATCTCAACTGCACAATCAACAATACTCGAATGAGCTGTCTTATTCCATGAAAACCCCAAAAAAACGCATTTCTTGTTCTATTTTTTTGTTTTCTATTATTTTTGGCTGTTCTCAGTCCGCCCACTCTCTAAATGTTCGGAAACAAAGCGTTGCAAGCATTGAAATACCGGTGAAAATCCCTAAAAATCTCTCCCAATTTACCCTTTCCAATGCTGGTCAAAAACATGAACTTATCTCTCTCGAATCCGAGTGTACTTTTTTTTTGCCAAATTGTTGGCTCTCTTCCAAACCTCGTCCCCCGGTGAATCTCTTGTTTTTTTTTGAAATTAGTAACAGTATTACATTTCTCATAAAAGGTTCAATTCTTTGAGTCAACGTATCTTCTTTTCTTCTTTTTTTTCTTGAGAATAAAGCGAATCTTGTTGACTTTGAATGAATTTATTGAAAAGAAATGACAAGAAGTTGTAACAAAGGATCAGAAAAGCTAAACAGTCAAGGGATCAGAAAAGCTAAACTATTTTGGTGACATGTTTAAAACTAAGCTATCAATCGTTTTGGTCGAGAATGAAAAGTCCAAAATTCTAGAAAGAAGAGAAACGCAAAGTCTGGTGCATTTAGTTTTGGAGTACTGGTGTAAATCGTCAAATTGTAGCCTTGATTAAATTCAATTTTTTGCACCAGATAACTCCGGTCGAGCTCATCATTTCAAATAATCAAAATGCTAATATTAGATTGATGCAGTCTTTACAATTTTTTTCAAATTTTTCTTTTTATAAAAAAGAATTCTTTGCGAAATTTGTTGCCTCCTAATAAGGTTTATAATTTCTTTATAAAATGGCTTTTAAAAGGCTTTTAAAAGCTCGCCTTAACTCGATAAAAACTCGATAAAAACTCATTTTTATGTAAAATTTTCAATTACTGTTTTAAAGAAAATCGCTGAACGAATCGTTTTCAAATTTGACAGACTTATGTAATCAAATAAGCTTTATCTTTTTTACTTTGACATTAAAATAAGTTTGTATTAAAGAAAATGTTATCGAAACAGTTTTGAGTACTCACCTTTGAGCCTTTGAAAATCTATAAAAACAATGACTTCTAAGAATTTCTCAAAAACCATTTTGTAGAGAAATAATCAATCTTTTTAATACTTCAAATAGATATTTTAAAAAGATGTTTGAAAAAAATTGTAAAGACTTTTGCATCACTCTAATCAATAAATCCTAATTAAAACAAATAAAAAACTATTTTTCTTGAAAAAAAAGATAGTTGATTATTCTTAGAGAAAATCTAAGCTCTTGAAATATCATTTTGAATCATTTAGGCATGAGTTGAAAAGGATTGACTAGAGAAAAGAAGTTAGGCAACGATTCGAGTCCATCCAGGCATCAGATCGCTTCGACCGTACTGAAAAAGGGATAATGAGAAGGATATCTGATAGGCTAATAGGCTAATAGCCTAATAGCCTAATAGCCTAATAGCCTAATAGCCTAATAGCCTAATAGCCTAATAGCCTAATAGCCTAAAGCTTAACAGCTTAATAGCCTAATAGAGTCTAATTTTTAATCGTGTACCTGAATGTCCGTCAATACATCGTAGAATCTTTGCATAACGGACGGATTATGACGCATCGTCGGGATGTGCAGCTCATCCAGAGTATTCGTTTTCTAAAGCAACGCTCTCATTTCAGAAAAGCTACGTGGGAAACTTTTTGAGCTTTATAGAATAATGGCTATTACGCGATGGACAATATTTATTATAATCTAGCCTTCTATATAAAATAGAAATTCTAGCCTGATTTTTGTGAAGAATTCGATCAACTGGACTGACAACACATGCGGTTCCTGCTCCAAACATTTCCAGCAACTGAAATAAATTTTTCAGTTTTCGAATTCAAAGCTATCTATTGAATTTACTATATATAACATTCTTACCCTTCCTTCATCCAAAGCTTTTCGAACTTGGCTCATCGTGATCTTTCGTTCGTTTACCTAAAAGATTGTCAGAGTCATTTGTCAGAGTTGAGTCGTAAAAACTATTCTTACTAGTCAAAACACTAAAATGCTGAAATTATATTGTTACTTTAGAAATTTATCTATAAAATTCTTCTAAAATTATTCTAGAATTCTTAACTTTTTAATATTGAAACCTACCGCAAACTCTCCCCATTTTCTTCCCAAATCGATGATCGAATCGCGAGTGACTCCAGGGAGAATCAATCCAGAAGTCAATGGTGGAGTCACCAGTTCTTCTTCTGAAAAAGAAAACATTCAATATCTATAGATAAGATAAGAAAAACCAGTCATTTTCTATTCCCCACCTCCATTCTCATTGATCCAATAGACAAAAATGTTCATCGTTCCCACTTCGGTCAACGTCTCGTCATCACCATGGAGCCACAGCACCTAGACTCTCCCATGGAATTTATATCTTTAGCAGCCGAAGAACGGTTACCGTAACTCTTGTTACTAAGCTAAATCGTCTTTTAAGAAATTTTAGTCTTTTTGGCTCAAAGACGATTGAGAAAAAGTCCGTACAGACGGACAGAGAGCTCTTTTATATATAGTAGATGTCAAAATAACAAAATCACAAAAACTAGAAGTGTTTATAGCCAAAAGATAGTCAATTTTTTACAGAATTTAAACCTTATTATCTTTTTAGATTTTAAATCTTATTACCTCTGTCCACTAGTATTACCAGTCTAAGAAAATCTGTCCAACTTAGAACTCAGATGATTAGGAGTATTTAAAAAATTGTTTATCAGTTCTAAACTGGAAATACAACAACAGTTTTCAATAAGTTTGTAATTTTTATATTAGGTTGGCAAGTTATAAACGATCGTTTTTGGGTAATGTGTTTTCTGAAAAAAACGGCTTATCCAATCAAAAAACGCTTTGCTTGATTCAAAAGCCCTATCCTTAATCTACAAAATAGCTTTTTTGAATTTTTGAAAAATCTTTTATTTTAGAACTTTTTCAGGCATTTTAATATAAGAGTTCAAAATCCTGGTTTCTAGCATTCATGAGCTAATATATTTTTGAGCTATTTTTGAGTAATTGCATACTTTTTAAAATAAAACGCTTCATCGATTACATAGTTTCCCAAAATTTCAGAACAATCCAATCGATCGAACCTTTCTCTTTCTTTTAATCTTTTTTTTTTAATCTTGCTTAAATTCAAACGAAAATGGATTAAATTAGCACAAAAGTGCATTTTGAGCCTAATTTTAAAATCAACCTTCCGAAGATTGTTCTGAAATTTTTGCAGTGCAAAAAGTGCAAAAATATGTGCGACTAAAGATACTTTTTTCGAAGAGCATAGAACAGCGATAACTTAAAATCTAAAGAAGTTATTTAAAAACTGTAATAAGATTTAAATTCTGTAAAAGATTGACTATCTTTTGGTTATAAACATTTCTGAAATAAAAACAATCAGGAAGCTTTTAAAGAGATTCCTAAAAAGGCCAGAACTTTTGCCCCATATATAGTAGTAGATACTTTGTTATATAGTAGTAGTATATAGTAGATACCGTAAATACTGTAATAGTACCCCACCCCCCTCGTACAGTCGCGTAGTCGCAAAAGTTTTTTAGTATTTCATTTTTTTCAAAGCGCCCGTACTTTCAAAAAATTCGTCTTTGGTATCAAAAAATAGCTGAAATTCAGGGCTATTCTTTGATACCAAAGCGCTCGTTGTAGCATAAACCAGTGTCGAGAAAAACTCGTTCAAAGCTAGACTACGCAACACTCCGCACCGTCATTATGGGGGTGGGGTACTATTACAGTATTTACGGTACTTTGTTATAGTAGATACTTTGTCCTGTATATAGTAGACACTTTGTTACCTGTTGACATCCTTTCGCAGCCGCCATTTGACCAACCCAAATCGTTGGAGCGTAGTTGCTAAATCGCATTTAATTCGATAAACCTAAAAGTCTAACCATCCCATTTTATATCCACCAACACCACCCGAGTACGCTCGGCAATATTTTGCATCAGCAAGCAGAGACACTGGCTTAATGATATTGATATAGAAATCTTGACAATTTTAAGTGTTACCTGGAATCCGGTAGCATAATAGGCTCCAACAGGGCCACTCAACACAAAGAGTTTCGCCATATGAGCTTCTCCAACACCAAGAGTTGGCTGAAAATATAGATTTTATTATTAAAGTTATTTCCAAGAATAAGTTGACTTTATTTGTCAGTCTAGTAACCGCTTTAGTAAAGCAATACCACTAACATCAGTTCCAATAAGCGTCGGTCGAAGATAAAGCGAGGAGGTGGACGAGGCGGGGACCCAATCGGCGTCTAATTGAATCTGTTCGCTCATGATCTGGATCAATTCCTCGGCATCGAAATCCTAAAATAATTGTTATATTGAAATTGAATCTCATTTAGTTTTAAACTCACTGGTAGAGCTGATCGTTTAGCAGTCATTTTCATCCTTTGCATATTCATTTCAGGTCGGAAAAGACGAATTCGATTGTCGACTCCACGATAAGCTTTCATTCCCTCGAACAACTCGATTGCATAGTGAAGCACCTGTAAGTTTGAACTTTCTTCTCTAAATTCTGACTTAACAAATGCTTACTGAACTATTTTGTATTTGTATTTGTCAATTTTTAGCGACTATTGCCTGTTTCAATGATCATTGATGATATATATTGTGACCTAAATGATCCCCTTTGATCAATCTTTTCTTATTCTTTTCATGATCATAATCTTTTCCTATCTTTTCTCACACAAATCATCAATATTGAAGAAAGAAAGGAGAAGATTGCAAAGATTTTTCATTGATTTTTCTTCTCTCTCCGCTATCGAATGTGTCAATCAAAAGAAAACATTCAAAAATGTGAACAGAGCTCTTAAAGTGGACAGTTCAGTTCGCAAAAAAAAAGGATTCCGCGCTTCTGATGCAAGAATGTTATGTTAATGAATAGTTTCCTCTATATTTTAAACAAAACTCAAAATTGGTTTACATTCAAATATGAATATGAATGAATTTCGTTTAAAAACCTATGAATTACAAATATAGTTTAAAAACTTAAAATAGATTCATTAGATTTACGTAGATTTATTCTATCTTTGCTTCATTATATTATCTTTATTTATTTATTATTGACAAACCTTTGCTCCTGGGTGAATCATGAAGGGTTGAAGGGGCTTCAACTCAGGTCGATGCCACCCCTTTTTATCATCCCAATTCACATCAACCTGAAAGATTTCAAGTCAAATCAAATGGCAAGATTCATTTACTTATTTTCACCAATGTTTTCAATTAAGCCCACCATGTGATCAGCATAATTATGCCCAAACTTGAGCGTGTCTCCATGTTTTGGCTTTGGGCGGCGCACAGTTGGACCAGCTGGGGTGACGATCAGATCACGATGCTAAAGTTAAATCGTTAACTTCCTCGAGTAATGGAGATCAAGTAATGGAGATCAAGTGCTTTGTGGTGTAATGGTTATCACAGTTGCCAGATAAGCGGAAAGTGGCGGGTTTGAGTCCCGGCGGGGTACGAATTCTTGTTTTGACCTAGTTCCAACTAAATAAGAACTTTGTCGACTTTATGTTTTCTATTTTGTGATCTAGCTTAATTGTTGTATTTAGGGTTACTGTTGTATTTTGTTGTATGTTGTATTTTGGGTTACTGTATTCTGTGAGTATAAAAGTCGAATTTTTAGACAGAAATTCTTTCTTTTTAGCATTGCTAACAGTTTTAGTAAGTGAGCTATCAAAAAATCCATTTCTTTTCCATATAAAATACGATTTTTTGGATTTAAATAAAGAAAAGTTGAATGAAATGAAGATTTTTGATTTGAGAACACAAAAAAAGCTTTTATTTTGGATTTTTTTTGATCAATTGAGCTCTATAATATTTAGCCTAAGCTTAAGGAAACGTTTTCATTAACTATAAAAGTTTTGAATTCAATTCCGAAATCTTTCGTAAGCACACATGACATTCAAATGCTAAAAACAATTGCTTTTTAATCTCAAATCATTTCAAATTGATCTTCAAAGTCAATTCAACAAAATTTCCATCGAATCCATTTAAAACTCACATAGAAAGTCTGGAAAGGATCTCCGGTTGGTGCTTCTTTTGGCTGACTTGCCTCAGAACCCAAACATCGCGAGCCTGTAAACAAATCAGAAATAGATAACAATATTTTCTCTGAAAACATTTCCACATCTTGCACGGTATCTTGCAATTCGGAATTTCCACGAATTCAGTGACCTTTAAATGAATCACCTGATTGTATCAGTCGCCTCGCAGTCGTTTGCAGAAGTGGCGCGACTGTGTTCATCAAAAACTGCAATCAGATTGAATTTCAAGAAAAGAAATGAAAAACCAAAAGATAAACTTGAAAAACAATCATGATTATAGTTTTCTTTTTGCTGAAGAGAAAGTTCTTTCTGAGGTGGAACCCCAGCGTTTTTACGTTTGATTTATGAGGTCAATAAATTCGTAAAGAGATTGTCAGAAAACTTATCAAATAACTGATTTGTTTAAAGAGTTTATATAAGGATTTTGTACAACTTGAGCTAATGAGGAACTGAAAAAAGGAACTGAAAAACTAACTAAAATTTTATGATAGGTCACGGGGTCGAGAGTGAAAAAGTTTTAAGGGGTTAGAGCTGGGGAAGAAGGGAAAAAGGGGAAAATAGAAGACGGACTTCGTGGACCGAGAGAAGAAGTAAAGAGGCCAAGAATGAAAAGAGAAATTGGAGTAGATGAAAATAGGAAGAGCTCAAAATGAAGGATGGGGTAGAAGTGAAGAGAAGAAAGAAAGAAAGAAGGAAATAGGAAAACGGGGGGAAAGGTTCAAGATTGAGGTATGCACAAGAATCGGAAAAAGTAAAAAATGAAGAGTGGCAAAGGCCCAAAAGCTTGAAAAGGGAGTAGACAGAGAGCTGAGAAAATGAAAAGAGCTGAAAGAGCTGAAAGAGGAAACAACGAATGGAGCTCGTGGATGGGGTGATGCCTTGGAGATGGGACATGAAGAGAGAAGAGTGGAGAGGGAATGAGAAAAGTCGGGAAAAGAAAAATGGGAAAAGATGGATTGGATTGAGGTTTGATGGGGAAAAGAGAAGGATTTGGAGAAATAAAATGAGAAATTTAGATGTGAAAAAGAAGTACAGACAAAGAAGTAGAAGATTCTGGAAAAAAACAAAGAAAGAGTTTGGTGAAGAGGAGAAAAGGAGATTGAAATCAGATTTCGGATTTGATCGGATTCTCATCTATATCATTGTGTTCATTAATCAAATAGATAAGAACTAAAATGTTTAAAACAAAATGTTTTTAATATGCTTTTTGGATATCAGCTTCAAAATTTTATTGACAATATGGTCTAAAGGAGAAAAAACGATTCGAGATTGAGGAAACTGTTCAAGCAAAAAGGGCATACAAAGATAATAAATTGTTATGAAGATTTGTTAAACAGATCTTCAGTTTCAATGCATTTGTTCTTTGTTGATTTTTCTTGTTTGTTGATTTGTTAATGTTATGATCTTTGTTGATCTAATGAAGAATAATGATAATGATAATGCATTCATTACAAAGACAATGAATGTTCTAATGATAATGTAGGAACTTTTGCTCGATATTTTGGCACAATTTTGAATCCGGCTTTATCGCAAATTGCGCAAATAATCATATAGTGTTTGTTTTAAAGTGCCCATCAGAGGGGAAAAGATGATGAAATCAGATTTCGGATTTGATCGGATTCTCATCTCATAGGATTCTCATAGCATTGTGTTCATTAATCAAATAGATAAGAACCAAAATGTTTAAAACAAAATGTTAAAACAAAAACAAACTTGAGCAATTTTTAATATGCTTTTTGGATATCAGCTTCAAAATTTTATTGACAATATGGTTTGAAGGAGAAAAAAGGATTCGAGATTGAGGAAACTGTTTAAGCAAAAAAAGACATATAAAGATGATCATATGAAGATCATATGAAGATTTGTTAAACAGAGCTTCAGTTTCAATGCATTTGTTCTTTGTTGATCTTTGTAAAGAAATATTCTTTGCGTGCTTGGTACTCTTCACTCAAGACACGTTGTTTCTTGTTTCGAGATATCAGATCTCACTTGAACTAAGACACTTTATTCAATAGCCGACTGACTCGCAATTTTTGGACTCTCACTTGAGCAATTTTCAGACAAAATCGACAATTGAATTAAAACTAGAATAATATCGATGGATACCATAGGACAATTTCTCGCGTAGCGGACTCCCAGCGCAGCTAGTAACTTATAATGCAAACATTCCGTTTAGTTCGCATCTTTTCTAACATTCTTGCTAAATCTTTTTTCGGATTTAGATTTAGATCTGAGAAAATCCGCGGGATAAACTATATACTATTAGTGTAAAGAAATATTCTTTGCGTGCTTGGTACTCTTCACTCAAGACACGTTATTTCTTGTTTCGAGATATCAGATCTCACTTGAACTAAGACACTTTATTCAATAGCCGACTGATTCGGAATTTTTGGGCTCTCACTTGAGCAATTTTCACACAGAATCGACAATTGAATCAAAAGCGGCGATAAAAACAGAAACAATTTCGTCCTAATTAGGACACAACTTTCACACGATGAAAGGAGGCAGAAAAAAGTAAAAAACAACAAAACCAAATGAACAACGGTTGCCTTATATAGGCTTTAACGCAAGATATTCAGCTAACAAGCTACAAAACAATAAATGATTTGGGGCGCGAAATAGAATGAAGGCGCACGGATTTCCGCAATACTTTTCCAATTTTTATGCTTTTAGACAATAAATGATTTTCGAGTGGTTTCGACGCTCAATCACTGTGAGCAGCCAATGGAGAAGGTAATGGTAAATCTTTAAAAGAATTTCTACTAAAACGAGTTTCCTTTTAGGACCAATTTCGGTTAACAAAAAGTTGCGACTGTGTAGAAAAAAGAAGTTAGGATAAAGACTATAAATAACTATTTAGATGGCATTTACTCGGATGATTCCTGCAAGGCCTTGCTGACTGATGAACTTATTGTCATCAGATATAGAACAACGAATGGAAAATGGAGTGAATGAAGTGAACGAATCTGAAGAAGGATGAATCCTGCAAGATCTTGCTGACTGATGATTTTAAGATGACAAGATTTTAAGAAATATTTGGTTCAAATATTATTTCTATTAGTTTTAGAAGAGCATGGGGAAAGGGTGGATTTGAAAAAATTGCAAGAGGTGTACTTGTGGCGGAAAAACGCTGTCATTATCTCAGTATAATATGCAGTTCAGATTTTTGAAATGTTTATTGACAAAAATCTCTTGACTGTTCGATTTAGATGAGAAGAAAAGGGGAAAACGATTCGAGATCAAGAAAATTGGTCAAATAAAAGAGAAGAGACGGGGGGTAGAGACAAAAATGAACGAAAAAGATAAAGTTCTCAAAAAAACAATTGCACCTGGGAGTCAGTAGAAAATTGTAGACACAAGTTGTAGACACAAGATCCTGCTTTTCTTTTCTAATACATCATTTCATAAGGAAAAAGATGGCAAAAAGATACAGCACCATGAAAAAAAACGAAGAAAAATCGATTCGATTGGGGGTAATTTTGAAAAAACATTTGAAAACATTTGAAAAAAAGACTTTTAAACATTTAAAAACAAAAATTGGCTTAATCATATAGAAAAAAATGACAAAATCACAAATGTTTTTCGACTTTAAAATCGGGATTCTTTTTTTGATCGAATGAAAACACAAAACTGATTTGAAAAGGGAAAAAAAACAAAGTTTATATTACAAAATCAATTTAGATTCTATATATTTAGAGAATTATGAAGAAAGAAACAGTAAAGTCCAATGATTAAAGCCATAACCCGGGATCGAACCCTCGACTTTTAAAATATTGGGTTGTCCAGTTGTGAATGCGCGTTATGAATGTTATGAATGTCCAGTTATTAATGCGCGCTATTTTGTAAATTTCTCAAGATATCGAACAGATGTATATGAGTGTTATATATCATTCGAAAGCTGCTGAAGATCTCCTCTACATTTTGATATAAAAACCTTTGGAATTTGTTCAGCTTTTGGGCAAATTGACTGCACAAAGGGAGAGGTCGTTTTCGAAAAAATTCATTCCACCTTAGCTATTCCTCAAGTTTTATGGTGTAAAATAACCGCCCAGAAAAGAAAAGAAAAGTAAAGATGCTCTGAAATTGTTATATTTAAAAAATCTTGTATTGATATATCTATTGGCCAAACATCAAACGGTTAACTCAATTTGAGCGGAGCCAAAACTTGATCCAAAGGCACCCTTCCATTTTTTTGGCCACCTCTTCTTCTGTGCAGCCAATTTGCCCAAAAGCTGAACAAATTCAAAAACTTTTTGTATCAAAATGTAGAGGAGATCTTCAGCTTTCGAATAATACTCATATTGGGTTGGGGAGAATGAGTCGGCGCCGAAAATCAAAAAAGTCTGAAACTTCTATTCGACTTCGCAAATAATATGCTTTGATATGAGTAGAATGGTTAACTAATCCTCAAAATGACATTTAAAAGAAAATTCAAACAGCGCCTCCCAAAACGAACTTGTTTCAAAAACCATTGTTCTCTATCTTCACCGTTTTGTTTGTTAAATGATGGTCGGCTCTTTGCCATTTTAACCCGCTGCGCTTGGAGTTCATAAACTCCACGAAAGAAAAGCTTTGTGGAATCTCTCAAAAGTCATTTTGTAGGAAATAGTGGATCCTTTTGATGAAACCAAACGTATGTTTAAAGAAGGCTTTATGTGTGCAAAAAGTCCCTTTTGGCGCCGACTCGTTCTCCCCAACCCAATATATATCTTTTTCTTGATTTCGGTATCTTGAGAAATTTACAAAATAGTAAAAAACGCGCATTCATAACTGGACAACCCAATATTAGCCAGACTACTTTGGCAAGCAAATTTTCATTTATTGGAAGATATTTGGGTACTTTGATGGTTGGGTGGGGACACTTTTAGCTTGCTTAATCGATTCTAGTGTTTTGAACGGTTTATCTCAATGATTTTCTTCTATTTTGAAGAAAGAGATAGATGTTGAAGCGATTGATACTAATTTAAGCACGTTTTTGATAATTCTACTCGATGATTTGCCCTGTATCCTAGCCTGTGATACTTTAACCACCGAACGTTACCCTAAAGCTGGTTAATTACACTTGGAATGCTGCAATACTAACTTGAAACAGGCTGGAGATACTCTAAAATTAGCACCAATCGCTTCAGCATATATAATTACACTGGAATAGAAGAAAAGTATCGACACGAACCGCGCAAAACATAAGATTTGACGAAGCCAAGCCAAAAATCGACCCTCCAAACCACCAAAGCACTGATTTTTGTTTTTAAATTCTTGAATCTTTTGTTTTTTGGAATACTATAGAACCTAGGACTTTACAATGAATTTGACGATGTTGTTTTTAAGTAATCAAGCTTGTAGCGATCACAGGAGCGTTGGTGGACGAGTGTGTTCTCACCGGAGTGTGGTGTTGCGGAGGTTGAGATGGGGGTGGCGGCGGGTGGAAAATGTTGTGCGTGCTGGAAATGTGATTTCGTTTTTTGGTTGTTGCCGTAAATTTTTGGAAGAAATGATGATTAGAGATGCTTGAGTGCTTTGTGCTTAAAAATGGAATACCGCGCGATTGCCTGGCACTTACCGTAAATACTGTAATAATACCCCAGCGACCCCTCGTACAGTCGCGTAGTCGCAAAAGTTTTTTATTATTTCATTTTTTTTAAAGCATCCGTACTTCCAAAAATGCGTCTTTTGTATCAAAAAATAGCCCTGAATTTCAGCTATTTTTTGATACCTAAGCGCCCATTGTAGCATAAACCAGTGTCGAGAAAAACTCGTTCAAAGCTAGACTACGCGATGCTCCGGCTGTCATTACAAACTGATGACGAGAAAAATGCGTTTAAAGTTAGACTACGTGATGCTCCGTCTTTTGATATCAAAAAATAGCCCTGAATTTCAGCTATTTTTTTGATACCTAAGCGCGCATTGTAGCATAAACCAGTGTCGAGAAAAACTCGTTCAAAGCTAGACTACGCAACACTACGCGCCGTCATTATGAGGGTGGGGTACTATTATAGTATTTACGGTAGTTTATTTGATTATTCTTCAAGATTTTGGTTTGCTTTTACGGTTTTGAGCACAAAGTACACGAGATCTCGAATGCTCATTGATTATCGTCTGTTTGAAATATGATTTATCAAGGAGAAATGAAAAGTTTTGTGTAAAATTTGTTAGGAATGAAGTCATGAAAGCCGTGCTGATCAGAGCCAGGTTTAAAAGTCAAAAGTTTCAAAAAAAAGGGAAGAAGTTTTGGCAGAAAGAGAATTAGTAACTTAGCGAAAGCTGGGGAGAATTCAATGAAAAGATTTGATGAAAAAAAAATAGAAGAAGAAGAAAGAAAACCTCATTTACCAGAAAAAGGCAATCCCGTAGAAAACAACACTACTCTTCTATGCTGAAAATGAATAAGATATTGAGATCTCGATTGATATTTAAAACCATTATAGCTTAAGATATCACTCACTTTCCGGAGACTTTCATGAAATTATCGACAATGATAGTGATGGGAAGAGCCAACACCAAAACTCCAGAAATAATTGCTCCACTTGCGATGAGTTTACCCGCTGAATCGATTGATTTGAAATGATAAATGCAACAAAACAAAATTAAACTAGTTAAACTTGCACACAATCTTTTAGCATAAATAGCTTTTGATGAATTCTTTGTGCTTTTAATTATCAATTGTCTTTCTTTAAATTAAAAACTGAGCTTTTAAGTACAAACCGTAAATACTGTAATAGTACCCCATCCCCTCGTACAGTCGTGTAGTCGCAAAAGTTTTTTAGCATTTCATTTTTTTAAAGCGCCCGTACTTTCAAAAAATGCGTCTTTGGTATCAAAAAATAGCTGAAATTCAGGGCTATTTTTTGATATCTAAGCGCGCATTGTAGCATAAACCAGTGTCGAGAAAAACTCGTCCAAAGCTAGACTACCGTATTTATTCTAATAAACGCCGCCCCCTCGACCAACTTGCCTCGTTCTCAGCCCGATTTTATGATATTTTTATGTTTAATATACCAAAAGATAGAAGACATTAAGGGTTATCTTTTGGTATATTAAACATAAAAATGTGTCAAAATGGGACTGAAAACGAGGCGTCTAAAGTTGTTCGAGGGAAGTGGCGTTTGTTAGAATAAATACGGTATGCAACACTGCGCATCGTCATTATTTGAGTGGGTCACTATTACAGTATTCAAATACATTCAAATAACCTACCGTAAATACTGTAATAGTACCCCACCCCCTCGTACAGTCGCGTAGTCGCAAAAGTTTTTTAGTATTTCATTTTTTTCAAAGCGCCCGCACTTTCAAAAAATTCGTCTTTGGTATCAAAAATAGCTGAAATTCAGGGCTATTCTTTGATACCTAAGAGCGCATTGTAGCATAAACCAGTGTCGAGAAAAACTCGTTCAAAGCTAGACTACGCAACACTCCGCACCGTCATTATGGGGGTGGGGTACTATTACAGTATTTACGGTATATTTATTTCGATTCTACCATTTCATTTGGTCGATTGGCTAAGAACCCTGTATCTTAGTCAGAAGATTAAGGGTTCAATTCTGTTGGCTAGATTATTGATCCGTTTTTTCTTCCCCTACATTTAGGGCTTAGGGGCTTTTGTTGTGTATTGTTTATACCACATCTATTCGTGTCAATAAATTTATTCAATTCAAAAACACTCACGTATAGTCACTGGCACATAATCACCGTATCCAACGGTTGTCATCGTCACAATTGCCCACCAAAAAGCGGCTGGGATCGATGTGAATGGGGTATCCTGTAAAGATTACTTGTTTTCAAAAGCATCAATTTTCTAGGATTGTAGACATTTAATACAAGACCCGCCCCTTTTCCCATTAGCAATCTAACTTGAGCTCAAATTTCTTCCTCTTGGACTTTCTCAATTGAAATAGTTTTTATACCAATCGATAGAGAAAGACTTGGTACATCTAATGATATCAAGAATATTTAAATTAGACAGCTAAACACCAAGATATTTGAGCTCAAAGTTTCCAATGGTGTATAAAATGTCGGATAACTTTTTCTAGAGGTTACCAGTTTCCTGAAATCCCACTTACCTTTTCATCTTTCTCAACGAAATAGAGTAGCGTTGAGAAGAAAACGACACCTGTTGATAGAACCTGAAAGGGTTTGCTTGAAGATTGAATGTACAAGATTGAATGTACAAGATTGAATGTACAAGATTGCATGTACAAGATTGAATGTACAAGATTGAATGTACAAGATTGAATGTACAAGATTGAATGTACAAGATTGAATGTACAAGATTGCATGTACAAGATTGAATGTACAAGATTACATGTACAAGATTGAATGTACAAGATTGAATGTACAAGATTGAAATGTACAAGGTTAAACTCAAGCCTGAGCTTTCTCAAAACCAACCATTCCCATCATTCCCAACTGGCGAGCCGACGATCGAAGTGTTAGAGCAAAAGTTCTCATCCCTGACGAGTATCGTCCCAACTTCAGAATTCGAACCACTCGCAGCACTCGTAAGACCCTTACAACCAAGAGAGCACCTAGAAAAAATGCTTTGCTTTAATCTTTTCAATTCTTAAAAACCTTTGATGTCGGACAAGCTAGCGACATCGATTCCAAATATGGCAAGTCCAAGTTCCAAATAGAATGGAAGAATGGCAATCATATCAACAATGTTCATCAGGCCGCAAAAGAATTGGCACCGATTTGGGGTGACGGTGATTCGCAGAAGGTATTCAAAGGTGAACCTGGATATGGGGATGCTTCATGGCATTAATCAAAGTTGAAAACATTGAAATCTAAACAGCTATGACCTAACCTTAACCAAGATAAGTGTTAATGATAAACTATTAGGTTAGTGAGAAAGTCATGATATCTTTTCTTTTTTTCTTTTCATTCTTTCAAATACATTCATTCTCTTTTTTTTTTATTCATAATTACCCACAATTTGTGCATTTGTTGTTTTGAAACGGAAATACGAAAAAGAACAAAAAGACAAATTCATTAACTAAATACAACTAGGCACAGAAAATCTCGAACGATTTTTCTCATTTCACTCACCAGAGAATGCACACTGTCTCCACATATCCAAAAATCGGATGCGGTTCCCATATCACATTCGGATCGTTGACTAAATTTGAGATTTTATTTCTAAATTTCCCTTTGCACAAATGATTTTACACAGCAAACGCTAGTTTTTTGCAAGTTTTAGATACATTTTTTCTTGGTACAATCCTGTTATACACCGGAAAATCTTTTTGTGCTCTTGCATCAATCCTTTTTCTCCTATGAAATTAGTATTATTGAATACCGTATTCTCGCTAATAGTAGTGCACTCTCTAATATTAGGTTGTCCAATAAGTAATGCGTGTTTTGACACGATTTTCAAAATATCACAAAATTAACAAAAGAGAACTTTATTAATCGATATATTCTCCACAACAATCAACAACATTTCTCCATCGTCCGAGCAAAGAGTGAAGTCCGTCATAATAAAATGAAGCTGGTTTCGATGAGAAGAAATTCCAGCCTTCCAGCGCGTTCCTCGTCCTCTAACGACTCGTTTCCGTCCGCAAATCGTTTAAACCAGCGCTGGCACTGACTGATTGAAACTGAATCCTCTCCAAATGCGGCACAGATAGTTTGATGGCAATCCGCTGCAGTTTTACCTCGTTTGAAATCATACAGCATTGATGCGCGGACAACAAACTTTTTGTCTTTCATCTGCAAAACAACATATCTATTATAAAACAAAGGCAAATGAATAAAATAATATATAAAAATAAACACAAGATGCTGATGATTAAAAAGAGCATATATTTGCTCGAAGCGATTTCGCAATAGTTTCGAAATCAGTAACACGCATTACTTATTGGACAACCTAATAGTATTGCGGTCGGAGAGGGGATTGAAAAAATAGTAGTGCACCCTCGAAAATTTGAATTTATAGTGCTTCTTTTTCATCTAAACCTTTTTGACTTTATGTTTATGTGTCATTCTAAAGCGATTTTCGATTTTGAAAAGGATCTTGTTGCTTGAGTTCAAGAAATGCGGGCAAAGATGCGAGTGATACGAAAAATGATTCAATGCCAAGTCAAGTTAATGTGGAAAGGTGACGAGGAATTTTCGGCATCAGAGGGATGGCTAAATTTATTCATGTCAAGACACAAATTGTCAACTCGCCGGCCCACAACTGTATTTCAAAAGGAGCTAAAGGAGTACGTGAAAGAATTGCAAGAATTTTTAGAACAAATCTTATATCTGTCTTACTTTGGTAAATGATAAAACTCTTTAATAGTAGTGCACTCTCTAATAGTATTGCGGTCCAGGAGGCAAATCGAATCCGCTACTATGGGAAAACACTTTTGACTTAAAATCAAAAATCCGAATGCGGACAATTCTTAGTCGTTGTCCAGACAAGAAAAATCCCTCTACCCACAAGAAAGTTATTACGGCTTAAAGTTTTACGAACAAAATGTTAAGGAATTCGTCAAAATTTCAATTTTTCCGATTTTTCTCATATTCACTCCGAAAGAACGTCCCAAACGATGTATTACAAAGTTGTAGCCCTGGTTTTACTCTTTCTAACGATACCCTTGCCATTTCTCTGCATTTTGTTTGCGATGAGTTTTGAGGTTTTTCCCGGCGTCACTTTTAGACAAATATAGGGAAGAGTGCCCATTTCAGGACCGCAGAAGCAAAATTGAGTTCCTAGGTGTTTTTATTCTGAATCTATATTAAAAAACACTCCAGAAGATGTGTTTCAACCCCTCCGGAGGGGATTGAAAAAATAGTAGTACGCACTACTATTAGAGAGAATACGGTATATCAAAAAAAAAATCCAATCGCACACTGGAATCATTTGTTTTGAAGCTTTTAAAATGCAAATTTTTCGCAGCATAACAGGAAAATACTCATTTTTCTTATCCTTATTGCAGTTAGATGTTAGAAAAAGCAAAACACATTTCTCAATTAGAAAACTTGTTTCTTTTTTTGGAAAATGGGTTTTGAAAAAAGCCATGCAATGAAAAGTGAAATAAAATTGGTTAAAAACAATTGAAAAATTGGGTGGAAGTAAAGCAAAAACTTTTGGGGTGAGCAAAAAAATTTCAAAATTTTTTATTTTTGAATTTTTCTAACCACCTTTGAGCTCCTCGGTTTCGTTTTCTGAAAGAAATTTCGTGTTAAGGAAAAGTTTTTGGTTTAGTTTAGAAGAAGATAAAGAAAATGGGATAGGCTACTTTCCGTAATTTTTTTTTTGCGCAACTGGGTCATTTGCGCAACTCGCCATAACTCTCTTCTAAGTAAGCCAATCTTTATGATTTTGGTTTCATTTTGTTGCGCTTATTGAGATCTACAAAATGAAACCAACATCATAAAGATTGGCGTACTTAGAAGAAAGTTATGGTGAGTTGCGCAAACGATCCATTTGCGCAAATAAAATGGCGGAAATTAGCCTACCCCAAGAAAATTTGATAGATTAGATAGATTTTGATCAGCCAATCATTCTAAATAGTTTGAAAAGGGGTATAGGAGCTGATTGTAATGAAGTTTACCATGTGAAGTGTTCACTCGTAGATGACTTCTGCCTTTTTTGATTATCGGTACTTGAAACTCATGAATTGATCCAAGAACGAGTCCTAGAAATTATTTAAATTAAGTGGCTTTTGAAAATCATAAAACATATACACATTAGAGCTTAAACAAACCTATAACTGAGATTAACACGAAACAAATGCTGATAAAGGTGAAGAGAGTCGACCAGAAAGTTCCATCTCCTTCACAGAAAGCATGTAATCGAGATCTATTAGTAGAGTGTATTCCTCGCGAGTAAGTAATTACTCGAGTCAATTTGCATGAGTAATTTTCTTACTCGAGTAATAGGTCGAGTAATTGTCGAGTAATACGTTTTCTAAAAAGTGCGCCTGCGCGAAAAAAATATAAAAGCAATTTTTTGCGCAGGTTTTGGGGTAGGCTAATTTCCGCCATTTTATTGGGGAAAGGCTACTTTGCGCGAAACGTTTTGGCGCAACTGGGTCATTGCGCAACTCGCCATAACTCTCTTCTAATTCAGCTAATCTTTATGCTTTTGGTGTTATTTTGTTGCACTTATTGAGATCTACAAAATGACACCAAAATCATAAAGATTGACTTACTTAGAAGAGAGTTATGGCGAGTTGCGCAAATGACCCAGTTGCGCAAAACGTTTCGCGCAAAGTAGCCTTTCCCCAGGTTTTCCAAAAAAGAACCATTTTTTACATTGGAAGGGAATTTCCCACCAAATCAGTTAAACGGCTGAGTATTTTTAAAAAGTGTCGTATATAATGCGGGGCTCATCATTTATGCGTCATTTTTTGGGGGTAGGCTAGTTTCCGCAACTTTTTTGGCGCAACAGGGTCGTTTGCGCAACTCGCCATAACTTTTTTCTAAGTCAGCCAATCTTTATGCTTTTGGTGTCATTTTGTAGATCTCAATAAGTGCAACAAAATGACACCAAAAGCATAAAGATTAGCTGAATTAGAAGAAAGTTATGGCGAGTTGCGCAAATAAAATGGCGGAAACTAGCCTACCCCATAATTTTTGCTAAAAGTACGGTAATTTTTTCCCAAGTGTGCGTTTTAAAAAACACATTACTCGTGAGGAACACACTATCTATTAGCATCTATTAGCAGAGTAAACAAAATTCTTTTTACCTTAAAGATCGATCAGCTGCTTGAACTGTTTCATCAATCTTTAACGCCAATTCCTCCATAGAAGCACTCCTAAAATTCCTTTTCTTTCAAGCAGCTAAAGGGAATTCTACTTTTAAAACCCCAAAAAAATTAAACATTGAAATACCTGATTGATGATGATCTTTTTATTGTACTTGAATCAATAAAGTTTTAAAAATTGCTGAAATTAAAACTTACAGTGGGTTTAACGCTCGATAACAACAAGATGACAAAGCGTGTTCGGGAATTCTCCAATAGGCGAGCTCTTGGGTAAACTCAGTGGGGCAAATGTCCAAAGGGCTAAATTTGCAATATAATTTCTTGTACCTCTAGTAAAGAATCAAGTTCAAACACTATTTTCTAAGACTTTCAGCAATCAGATTATGTCTGATGTATTCAGCGTTGCTCTTAAATTTAGACCTTTTAAATTTAAGTCCCTTGAAACTTTGATACAGTCTATTTGTGGATTCAGCTAACAAATTTTTACTTATGCGTTAACTATCTTTTGTTCTTTGTTGTTCTTCTTTTGCTAAAACCTTTTTTTTTGATGTGGACAGGCTCTAAAGCAAATCTACTGGGTTGGTGAATTGAAAACTGCCGGCTATTGTCATATGTGACAGTTTGAGCACTTTCTTCAAAAGAAACCCATTAGGTAGAAACGCCGGTTCTTTTACGGGTTCAGGTTGGGAATACAAAACATGGTTGGCGTCGAGTTTCGAACCCGCGACTTCTCGCTTGTCGGATGAACGCTCTACCAATGAGCTAGAGGATATATAACGGTATATATAACACTCTACCAACAGCGATACGTATCCATTTGCGCCAGTTTAAGGCCTTATACCTTACTCCATTATAATCCCTGCTGCAACTATTGGGTTGGTGAATTGAAAACTGCCGGCTATTGTCATATGTGACAGTTTGAGCACTTTCTTCAAAAGAAAACTAGCTTTTGAATCGTTCTGAAAATTTGGCTATAAGCCTAATTTTTGATTCTCTACAACTTTTCTATTGACACCAAAATGGGTTTCTTTTGGAGAAAGTGCTCAAATTGGAACATCTCCAGTCCTCCATTTTTGAGTCTAACACTTGTCTCACACACAAGCCAAAATCCTACTACGAAAGAGGAATCCGCAAATTGCCTGTAAAATGGGCAGAAGTCGTCAATAATAATGGAAATATTTGGAATGAATTCATGGTTTTATGTTCAATAAATTTTAGTTCAAAGTCCCGCAGTTTTCAATTCACCAACCCAATATTTTGTTTGGTGTGGGCAGGCTCTAAAGCGATTCTTGTTGCCATGGTTTACTCTAAACTCTAAAAGTGTCGGGTTACGGTAGTCCTTTAAATAAAGTAAACAATTATATATCCACTTAACACATTCACGACTCCTATTTAACATTATTCGACTCCTATTCACGTCTAGTAGGCACAGTTACAATTACTTTAACTATAGTCTAACTATAGTTTGGCTGTATAGTCATTTAGCTATTGTCTATTGATCAAATATTTCTATTCAAGAGTCAGTTAAGCTTTGTTATCATTTCAATCCTAAAAACTAGACTTGTCTATAATCTCATCAAACATTTATGCAAGTCCCTTTCTATTTTTCCTTTCACTTTGTTTTGAAGACTCTTTCATTTAACTCAAAACGAGAATTCTTCAAGTGACGGGGGTCAACGGATAGAAAAAAAGAGAAAAAAAGGGATAGGAGTGGTCGGATGCAAATTGGAAAAGTTCTTCCCTCGTGAGCGGATGACTTTTTTTTGAGTCTCCTGAGTCTTTGTTCCCTAGAAACTCAAGAATAGAAACAAAATTTCAGTCAGTCAACTCCTTTTCACACAAAATTTCATTAGCATTTCGATTGCAAAAACTAAAAAATTTTGGGAGATCAGTGGAAGTTTTGATTTACGCAAAAATCAAGGGGGGTAGTCAAAACAGCGCCATAATAGAAAACGTTCAAAACAGCGCCGTCAAATTTCTCGAAATCCAAAAAACCAAGCCGGTTCAAGTTTTATACCAAAAAATTCCTTGCGTTCTTGGCTACATGATGGGTGAAACAGTTTTTTAAAAAAGTTAATATTTCATAGATAAAAAGAGCACTCAAAATGGGTCTCTAAAGATATTCAGTTAACCAACTGAGTATCACTCGACACTTTTTAACTTTTTTAAAAAACTGTTTTACCCATCATGTAGCCAAGAACGCAAGGAATTTTTTGGTATAAAACTTGAACCGGCTTGGTTTTTTGGATTTTGAGAAATTTGACGGCGCTGTTTTGAACGTTTTCTATTATGGCGCTGTTTTGAACGTTTTCTATTATGGCGCTGTTTTGAACGTTTTCTATTATGGCGCTGTTTTGACTACCCCCAAATCAAGAATGGTACTGGTGAATTTATTATGTAAATTTGAGTATCAATGGCGTTAATCCAAAAAAGAAAAATGCTGAATTCTTACCGATGCAATTGTCCAGTGGCATAGTATTTAAAAATCGCATCAAACAAGTTTGCCGATCGTTCAAAGTAATACTCTTCAGAACCCTAAAGTTTATTCGATGATCAGCGAGATTTTCATAGTTGATTTATGACTTGGAGACGGGCAAAAGATTAGATCAAGTTCCAAGATCAAGATAGATTCACGAACTTGAATATAAGCGTCACATTTTGTCACTCTTCTCTCATGGTCGTAAGTGGCAAAACGAACGAGTCGAGAGTCGTCATTTCTCGCGAAAAGACTCGTCACTCTCAAGCGAAATGAGCTACCGCCAACGTTTAGCTTTATAACTGTATCACCAGCACCTAAACAATTTCTTAAATTAAGTTTACCAACTTCTCCACCTGACACCAAGTTTTGTGCCGTTCGAATGCTTCCATTGCCATTTTCATTTGAGTGGTCATCCAGTAATGATCGATGTCGCGGATCCTCTATCTAGAAGTGTTAAACGTATAGCTCAGTGGTGGTAAGCAGAAGGGTTCAATTCCCCCTTTGTACCAAATTCTTTGTCATTCATTTCTTTATTACTAATACCCATGTTCTGATTTTCAAATAGGGCGTGAGCCGACGGTTCTGAAGATTCAAGTATTTCCCCTCTCTCTTTCTTCCTTGTCTTTCCTATTCCTCCTTGACCAAACATCAATAGCTCAATGGTAAAGCATCTTGATAAGCAAAAGATCGAGAGTTCAATTCCCCTTAGTTCCAAATTCTTTACCATTTATTTCTTTACTTATTATCAGAACTCAAAATTGATCAACAACCGATTTACTCTAAAGGCGAACTCACCAATCGGTTCGAATGTCCATGTAATCGTTCAGCATTCGTGTTCTTTCGCATAGACGGAATCACCATGTTGTCACATACGAGCTCGGAGCTGAAAATGGTATTATTGAAAAGTATTCAAGCTATTAAACATGCTGGTTAATGAACAAGATTTCAACGATGGGTTGGTGATGAAGATATTGAGCTTGATAACAAGTTAGAGATGATCTTTCATGCAAAAATTGGTTAAATTCTTTAAAGCTAATAGATATATCAAAGCTTATATCTAAACTTTTCATGTTTAAGCTCAATTTTACAACTTTTAACAATGCTTTAACTTTAACTAGAAAGAATTTTGAAATGACAAAACTTTGTGAACATAAAAGCCTTTGATTTTAACTATCTAATTGTATATAAAGTATATAAAGTAATTGTAAGATTGTAAGCTTACTTATTACTAAGAATCGATGATTGTAAGCTTACTTATTACTAAGAATCGATGATTTATGAGATTGTGGTGTGATAGGCATCGAATTTCGGTGTTGCATCAGCATCCCTTGCGGGAATCTCTGCTGTTGAAAGTTCAACTTTCGATAGAGCAAAGTATGCGGCATAGACTGCATCTTGCTTTCGTATAGAAAGAATATTTCTACAAGAATTTCGGGAATAATTGAAGATGTGTGGGTTTTCGCTGGCAGCTCATCGATAGAGTATTACCAACACAAGACGTGGAGAGCCGGCTTAGCCCCGGGGATACCGGTGAATGTGGGGGGTGCTGCTGTCTGTTTTGGACTCTCATTCTCTTTCCGTTTCTCATTCATTTTCTCTTTCAGTCGACCAGCACCCTCTTTTCTCTCAACATTCGCATATGGGCCTAATTTACTCAAGGCGGTGCTCTTGAGCGAGAGATCTCAAACTCTTTCTTTTCATCTCCTTTTTTTCAGTTACAATAAACACCAGCTGATCGCTTGACAAATACCTCGTAAAACTTATTACGCAATGCTGGGTTAAATGATTTTAAATCGTTCTACGGGTTTTGAGATGTTTCCCATTCAGATTTCAATGACTTCAAGCGATTGGGATCATTTGAAATTGCTGTTTAGACTAAGAACTGATACCAGATATTGATAACAGGTAATTTAAAGTTATTAATTACAGATTAAGATTAAGATTAAGATATTTACAGACTTACAGATTAAGATTAAGATATCTACAGACTTACAGATTACTATTACTTGCTAGATTAAGAAATCCGTTTAACAAGGATTCTAACGTGATAAAAGATAGCAAGATCAAGGTCAAGAGATGAGTTTGAGTTCAAAAAAGGGAATGCCGCTTACCTACCAAGATAGGCAAGCTTTTCAAAAGTTCAACTGCTCAACAATTGGCTTCACTAACCCAGACAATGAAGTAAATTAACAATTTCTATTATAGATCAAAAACGGCAACAAATGTGCGTATCGGATGTGAAATGAATTTAGAGGAAAGCCACCGAAAAAAAGGTAGCGATAAAAGGCGACTCAATGACGAAAAAGGGTAAAAAAAGGCAGAAATACTGGAAAATAGGTGGATGGAGCTTTTGACGCAACGAAAATGGAAATAGAAGAACATATAGATAAAGGAGTACATGCAATAGTTGAATTATCTTGTCAAGGCGCTTTGTTCAGATTCGGATCTATGCTTGAACTGTCATTCTTTGCTTTCTAATTGAAAAAAGACATTATAGTCGATGAACTTAATCAATTTATCTGTACTGGATGATCAAGTCTTAAAAAGTTATTCAATTCTTGACGGATTTAGCCCTTTTACTCAAATTAGTCATAGCTGAACGACTTGTGATCAAAACAAAGAAAAATCTGCCTAAAAATTTGTATTCAATCCATACTAGAAAATCTCTAGAGAATTTATAAAAAAGAAAACTTTTGAAGAATTGATTTTTGTCTCAATTAGTCTAGAATCAAAGTCCAGAAACAAAACAAAGAAAATCTTTTGGATCAATAGCTGAGTTTTCTCTATAAACACCTAGCAGCATTCAAATTGCGTGTTCTTGAAGTTTTCTCAATAAAAAATGGAAATAGTATAGCTAAATCTTGACTCAAAAGCAACAAATACTATGGTTGAACTGTTACCTTTGTTTTCTAATTAGAAAAAAGACATTATCATCGATAAAATTGGTCAATTTGTCTGTACTAGATAGATAAGCAAGCTAAATCTTGACTCAAAAGCAACAAATACTAAGATTGAAATGTTTAGCTTAAAAAGTGTGTCCCTGAAGTTTTCCCAAAATAAAAGAAAGAATGTGGATAAATTTAGACTCAAAAGCAACAAATACTATGGTTGAACTGTTACCTTTGTTTTCTAATTAGAAAAAAGACATTATCATCGATGAAATGGGTCAATTACTGGATGAGCAAGTCTCAAAAAGTATGTCCCTTGAGTTTTGCCAAAAAATGGAAACAATGTGGGTAAATTTAGACTCAAAAGCAACAAATACTAATTCTTTCTGGTCAAAGATGGCGAAAAAAAGGAGAGCTGTAGACACTCATAAATCTCCTTGTGCAAAGAAACAAAAGAAAAATGTTATTGAAAACGAAAGAAAGAAAAGATAATCTGGAGATTGATGAGTTTCAGAATTGAGTACAGGATTTGAATCCGCTATACAAAAGTTCTCTATTAAGATATTAGGAAATGTTTTTGAATTAATTTTTCTTTTAAAAGTTATTCAATTAATATTAAGACTTGCATAGATCTTGAAATAAAGATAATGAGAAGCAAAATGGATAAATTCTAGCTTAATGCGCTAAACTTCTGTGATTTTCCTCGAAATTTGTAAAGCACGATAAAAATAGCTTTGTGTGCAAGCGCTGGATGGCTTATTTAACAGCTAATCTATAGTTAGAAACGCCGGTTCTTTTATGGGTTGAGGCTGGAAATACAAAACATGGTTGGCGTCGAGATTTGACGCCGCGACTTCTCGCTTGCCGGACGAACGCTCTACCAATGAGCTAGGGGATATATAACGGTATATATAACACTCTACCAACAGCGATACGTATCCTTTTGCGTCAGTTTAGGGCCTTATACCTTACTCTATTATAATCCCTGCTGCAACTATTGGGTTGATGAATTGAAAACTGCGGGCTATTGTCATATGTGACAGTTTGAGCACTTTCTTCAAAAGAAACCCATTTTGGTGTCAATGGAAAAGTTGTAGAGAATCAAAAATCAAGCTTATATCCAAATTTTCAGAATGATTCAAAAACTGTTTTTCAAGAAGTGCCAAATTTACGAATTTTCACAAAAATTGCATTTTAAGCGAAACTACTAAGTGTATCTTTTTGGAAATTTGGCTATAAGCCTAATTTTTGATTCTCTACAACTTTTCTATTGACACCAAAATGGGTTTCTTTTGGAGAAAGTGCTCAAACTGGGACATCTCGAGTCCTCCATTTTTGAGTCTGACACTTGTCTCACACACAAACCAAAATCCCACTACGAAAGAGGAATCCAGAAATGCCTGTAAAATGGGCGGAAGTCGTCAATAATAATGGAAATTATTTGGAATGAATTGATGGTTTGAAAAAATGAAAAAATGAACCCAATACTTTCTTCCTCAAATCTCTGAAGTCATTTCAAAACTTGCAAGACTTCCCAGATCCCATAAAAGTCATGCTTTGCCATAAAAATTTGATGAGAGAACGTTTGATGAAAAGAAAACTTACTATTCTCGATTGTTACTATGATGTGAGTAGTCCACTGACGCGCCGCTCCAATACATTTTGATCAAAGTTTTGAATGCTTTGAAGTTGAAAATGAGTTGGCTAGAGGAATGGGCACAAATGGGTGGAAATGAGAATTGGGGAATAGGTCTTGGAGAGTTTTGAGAATATTTCCTTTGGGACTTCTTCACTTTTCTAAAATAGCCACGTGAAAGGAGGGGCTATTCTTTGGCTTTCACTGAGTCTCTTAGTTAACCATTCTCACAAATGAGCGCTAAATTTTTGATGCGCTGAAGGGAAAATGGGGAAAATCTCTGAAATAAATAGGGATTTTAGAAAGGAATTTAGGTGAAAATGATTAAAATCGAAATTGACCTAGATTTTAACGCGACAAATTCCAGACCGGAAACACTGAACTAGACAAAAATTGGATAGACAACAAGTAAAAGTTCAGAAAGAAAGCTTCAAAGTTAGTTATTTTTAGACGAACAAAAGATTAATTTAGTTTTCTGTTGAAAAAGTGACCAGGAAGGGAGTGGAATGTTCTACTATTGCAAGAGAAAAGATTGAATTAGAACGCGGCCTGGTCGTAACTCTTCTCGATTGTTACGATGATGTGAGTAGTCCATTGACAGTCCATTGACAGTCCATTGACAGTCCAAATTGACAGTGTGACAGTTCAAATTGACATTGACAGTGTGAGTAGTCCACTGACACGCTCCAATACATTTTGATCAAAGTTTTAAATGCTTTGAAGTTGAAAATGAGTTGGTTGGAGGAATGGGCACAAATGGGTGGAAATGAGAATGAGGGAACTCCGTTCTTGAAAGATCAACAATCATTTTGAAGAATTCTAGATACTCTAGAAGCTGGAAAAAGCTTTACATAGCTTTAAAAACGCTTTTTCATAACTTGTAGAAAGTATTTTGAATTAAAAGCTTGGGTAAAGAGCCATTCAAATTCTAGAAAAGTTCTATTGCGGGAATAGAATATTTTTATTTTTTTTTAAAGATATTTTTAGACGAACAAAAGATTAATTTAGTTTTCTGTTGAAAAAGTGACCAGGAAGGGAGTGGAATGTTCTACTATTGCGAGAGAAAAGATTGAATTGGAACGCGGCCTGGTCGTAACTCTTTCCTTCTCACACAATAATATTGCCTACAATCGTTTTTCCTTCCACAAATTAGGAAAATCAGAAAAAGAAGACGGAAATTGAAGCTTGAATAAGAGTTTTGCGATGATTGTAGGCTTGATTGAGAGTTCATTGAGAGTTTTGAAGATTTGCTATTGCGCAAATGCTTTCAAAATGCTATCAGATTACTATCAAAGTAAAACAAATTTTGTAATTGGTTAGATTTTGAACAATAAAACAGATTAAAGAGTACGAATCCTTAAGAAACTCCGTTCTTGAAAGATCAACAATCTTGAAAGATCATTTTGAAGAATTCTAGATACTCTAGAAGCTGGAAAAAGCTTTACATAGCTTTAAAAACGCTTTTTCATAACTTGTAGAAAGTATTTTGAATTCAAAACTTGGGTAAAGAGCCATTCAAATTCTAGAAAAGTTCTAGCCATTTGTCTCTAGAGAAATACGGTGGTTGTCAAGAAAAAAAACCCATCATGTTCATAGGATTTTTCTCGTAAAATCCTACTCACAAACGACACTCGTTTTGGGTGTGTGTATGAGAAATATTTGGAGAGTAAAAGGATGAAAAGGGGGGAGGAAAAAGCAGCCAAAAAGGCTGGGGACCCATTGCTGGAATGTGCGCTTCATCCAGTCAATTGAGATGCTAATCTTTCTCCTTTTTGGCTCTTTAGTCCTATGGCTTTCTATGCTGAAATTAGGGATCAAAAGAGAAAAAGTCAGAGAGTAGTTGTTTTCGAAATTTGAACTTAAGCATTCA